ATCTACTAGAAGGTCATCAGGGGGCTCATAGAATCAGTGTGAAGGCCAAAGAAGCGACTCCAAAATGGGCAAGAACCAAGGAAGGCTAGCCAGCAGACACATGGAGGTCACATCCTGGGAACAGGCTGGTAAGGTTGCCGCCCACCCTGGACACTCTACCCACTGATGCCAGAGCCCTGAGGCTCCCACTGTTCTACACCTCCCCCTCCACGAGCATTCAACATGCATACATCGCCTCGCCAGACCCTTGTGACTCTGGATCTCGTATGCATTTTACAGATGAGGAACCTAAGGCTTAGAAGCCTAAGGTCACACATGAATAGAGTAAGTTGAATAGGAACCAAGATCCTCCTGACTCCACAGCCGGCCAGCTCCCCTGCGTGGTCTCTTTCTAGGGGACACGCTGTCTCTTCCTGTGACCGCAGAGCTTCTGGGGTGGCTGCACATCGGGGCTGAGGTCACGCACTGACGTGTGTGACTGAAGCGGCTTCCTAGGGGTTGTAGACCACATGTTCAGAGATCCTGGAAACAAGTGCTGGCATGAGCTCAGAGGGGCCTGCAGAATCTAGTCAAGGACTCCAGGGTCCCCACCTGCCCCTTCTGGAGCCTGTGTCCCATGGCTGCCTGTCACCGCCAACCTGGGCTTAGTCAGGAACTCCCAGAGCTCATCTGCTCTGCAGCCAGCACACTTCCAGGGTTACAGATGCTCCCCAAGACGGCTCCTTCCTGCCCCCTGGATGGCATGACTCTCGCCAGGACCAAGAGATTCCCCTTCCTCAGACCCAGATGCCCAGGGGAGTGGAAGGCAGACCGGAAACCCGAGCAGCCAATCCTGGTCTCAGCCCCACCTCCCCTGCCTGTGACCTTGGCTGGATCCTTTGACCTTGCCGGGGTTTGAATACCCTGAGCTCCAGCCCTCTCCACTCCCCAGCCCTCCCACCCTCCCACTGCCTACACCAGCCAAATTGTTTCAAAAAAAAGAACTCAGGGTTCTTGGAGCTCTTTGGAGAGACCACATAAATGCAGGGCATTATTAGCATCATTACTATTAAATATTAATAATGACATTAGCATTGTCTATTATAAGCCTGAAAACAAGGGTCCAAAAAGCCCTGGGTTGAAATGGCAAAGAATAATTAGGCCCCTCTGGGCCACAGACCCCTTCAGGCCCATAAGCAAAATGAAAAAGACCAATGAAGACAGAGTCTTGAGATTTCCCTTCCAGCACCACTGTTCCGGTAAACGTGGCTCCTCCAGACTCTGCACAAATCATGCTCTTCCCAGACTCCAAGTCCTGGCTCCTCCATTCCCCACCTCCCCTCTGTCTATCCAGGCCCAAGCCAAGGTGCGCCCCACTGCACTCCATTGAAGCTGCTTGTCCCCTTCCTCCCCATCCTCACTCTGTTCCTCTCACCTAGCAGGTGACAAACACCTCCTGGGTCTCTCCCACCAACCAGGCACTGCACTAAACAGGAGGTTGGGGCTGGGAAATGCAGGCCTCGCTGCAATGATCCTGCCTCCAGAGACTGCAGAGTCTGGGGAATAATGATCTGGATTTCATATGGCACCTGACGATTCTCAAAGTGCTTTTAAAAATCATTATATAGTTGCTGGGCGTGGTGGTGGAAACCAGTAATCCTAGCACTCAGGAGGCTGAGGCAGGAAGGTTGCTGTGAGTTCAAGGCTAGCCTGAATTATACAGCAAGACCCTGATTAAAAAAAAAAAAATCATTGGGCTGGGGATTTAGCTCAGTGGTTTCGCCACCTGCCTTGCAAGCGCCAGGGCCCAAGTTCGATCCCCGGTACCGAAAAAAAAAAAATCATTATATTAAACCCAGATATCATCACTACTAACCAAAGTAGAAGGAGGATTGTTCCCATTTTACTGATGAAGAAATGGATTCTCAAAGCACCGAGAGTCACTCAGTGACCTCGCCTGTGTCGCCCAGGCAGGAGTGACAGAGCCGGCACTGAGGCTGTTCTCTTGGTGAGAGATTCCCAGAGCCACACCCCAATCATTGTCCAGCCTCGTGGCTCCACCCCTTATTCTACAGACATCCTGAGGAGGCTGAGTCCCAAAGAGGCCAAGGACATGTGGCAGCACTCACTGAGCAGCTGCTATGCAGGATCCTGCCCGTGTAATTCTCTGCTCACATCAGCCTGGCAAGGTGTGTGTCTTAGTCCCCACATTCTAAATGAGAAGGGAAGGGACTCACCCTGACCACACAGCTCTGCAGTAGCAGGACTGAGTGCCACGCTTGTATGTCCCCGGGCTTTGCTCCCCTCCTCTGGAGGACAGAACGGAGGACAGGACCCTTTCCTGTTTTTCATCCCTCTTCCCCAAAGCTGCCATGGACAGTCCCTTCTTGACATCAGACTGTTTCCAGAAAGGTTACGTGTACTTTGAAGACAGACCTCTTTCTCTGGCTCTTGAATCCCTCCCCATTCTTGGCAGAGATGCTGCTCCATAAACAGTGGCCTCCCGGGAGCCCAAAACCAGAGGTGCAGTGCTGGTGCCCAGAGAGGCCAGGAGATGGGGTGTCCAGATGGAGACCAGTGAAGAAAGGGAGCATGTCAGGGCCTCCCCTCTCTGCCCACTTGTCCCCCGGGACTGGACCAGAGGCCCCTGTTGACCACTTAGAGGTCCTCTGCACTCTGCTGCTATTGATCTTCGGAGGCTGCAGCAAGGAGGAGCAGATAGCCTGGGTGATCCTCAAAGTGCCCTCTGAGCCTCCTTGGGGACAGCCCATGTCTACAGGCAAACACGGCGGTCATTTGGTCCCCTGGTCGCCTTCAGCTGGCCCTTCTTTGCCCGGTTTGGAACTCAACTTGAGATGAGGTGTGAACAATATGGATTTGGGTTGATTTGCCAGAGAGGAGAGGCTCCTGTTCTCCATTGTGGCCCTCCTCCAGAAGAGGGCACAGTGGGCGGCTGACTTCGGCAGGACAGGCTAAGCCAGGAGGCTGCCACCAGAGCCCTGCACTGACACACCACTGGCTCGCTGTTCGCTGTGAGCACATTCCTGGCTGTCGCTCTGTGTCGTCTGTAGAATTCGCACAGTGACAGTAAGGACTACATGTACTTCTTGGCTGAGCACTTGAGGTAAAGCTGAGGCACACATCCTGCGGTGCCAGAGGCCTTTGAAAGAGGTGTTACTTCTGTCCTGGTCAAACTAATGGACCCTGCAACAGAACTCAGCCTGGAACCCCAAGTGTTCACCCCATGCTCTGCTCAAGATGAGCATCTCGGAGGCTGGCCCTGGGGATCCCCAGCCCTGACACACGCTTGGGCCAAGTTCTACGGAGAAGACAAAACTCTGGGAACTGTCCTCCCAGGTCCAGTGGGTGAATATTCTTGCTTACTTATTGTGGCTGCTGGAGTCCACCTGGAATGGAACAGGCTGGTGGCATTGGAATCTGAATCTTTGAGACCAAAGTCCCCGTGCTAATGGCTGTCCCCAAGGACCTGACCCCCCCACAAGAGCAGCTGCTGTCATAAAATAGGCAGCTGTCTCCTAAAGCAGCCTTGAGAGCATCTCCAGACCCTCAGCCCCTGGGCCAGCTGGCCTCCAGGTGCGGTGCCCCCAGTAGCAGGCAAGGGCCCTGCTCCCAGCGAGTTCTGAAGGGGGAGCCTCAGAGAGCCTCTCTGAAGAGCAGCAGTGACTCGGTGGGGTCAGCAGGAGCCCAGGACCAGCACGTCGGTCCCCAGAGAGACAGACAGACAGACGAGACCATGAGGGCAGGGCCAGGAAAGGGAAGGACGTCCTGGAAGGAAGCTGCTGTGCCTGTCTTTCCAAAGCAGCAATCAGAAGTACCCAAGGGTCTCCTTGACAAATCAGGTGTCCCCGCGTCAGGAGCCAAGAAGATGAGCTCCCAAGTTGCCCAAGCCCTTGGGGGGGGAGTCGAAGGATGGAGGGGAGCAGGCACTCAGGTGGAAGAGCTCCTTCTCCTTTTCCAGGCCACCTGACTCAGAAGGACATGGAGCCCTGCTCCATGCTTGACAGGTGAGGCATTTAACACCGAGGGCAGGCCACCCTGCCAGCTGTTGCTGCATCTGGACAGCCCCCCAGCCGTGCCACACACGCTGGACAGCAGGCAGGCCGGAAGGTGAGACGCCAGTGACAGCCTGACAGGCCTGACTGGCGCTGCAGACGGCTCGTCCCTCTGGCTCCTGGGCCCCGCCTGACAGGAGCAGCTGGGAGGGAGACATCGCTGCTGAGCTGCACTGTGACGTGCATCGCAATCTCAGAGCTGGCAGGGACCTTGGCCAAGCTGAACCCCTCGGGTTACCAGCGAGGCTCAGAGAGGGCAAGGCACTCACAACTAGTCAGCAGCAGAGCCCAGAGAGCCCTTCTGGCCCTCACCCGAACCCAGTGAGCTGTTCACAACATCACACTGCTGGTTAACAAAAATGGGTCTGGAGCCACATGCACTGGTGTGCAGAGCTGGCAAAGGCCAATCACACAGTTTTAAAATATTTTGCAAATCATGATGTATGAAGTGATCCCATTTTCATAAAACAACACTAACAAACCATAACTTGAACACAGGAAAATAATAAATCCGGAGCAGGTGCTGTATTCAAATTCAGTAAGGGTGGTGGGCAAGGGACTTATACTAGCAATTTTTAAATGTCCTTTAAGGTTTGGATACTTTGACGGAAAGCTCACGTTGCTTTTGAGCAAAGGAAACAATGAAGATAAACGCGGTGGGGGCGCACAGGCGCCCCTCCTTCCCCCAGCAAACCGGGGGGTTCGGATGGGATCCTTCGACCTAACTGGGATTTCTGGGGGAAACAAGGGGCGTGGGCTCCACGGCTCTCCGGGGTGTGAGGAGCGAGAGCTACTTTCTTTGTCCCTCTCCGTCAGATCCTCCCGAGCCCCTTGGCTCCGGGCTGGGCCGGGAGGGGGCGGCAGGGTAGACACCGCCCGCCCCCGCCACCGGCAGCGCAGCAGCTGCCCATGCATTATGGAAGACAGGCGCTGTGCTCGCTGCTTGGTCCTTAAATGACAGCAAATGAGGTAGAGCCAGGAGGGTGGGGACGGAAGGGGCGGGAGGGGCCCCGAGGAAGCCATCTCCGGGGCCCGAGCCTGGCTGAGGACCGGAGCCAGCCAGTGAGCGGAGGCGGGGAGAGGGAGGAGCAGATCTTGATGCAGAGATGCTGCAGTGGCTCCGGGAGCGCACACAAGCGCGCCCTCTCTGCCGCCACCACCGGACAGCCAGAGGCTGAGGCCGGGGGGCCGGGCAGCTGCCCGAGAGCTGGCGGCCGGGCCGCCGCAGCTCACCGACCCAGGCAGCATCCGCCTGCCCAGCCGACCCCTTCCTTCACTGCAGGTAGGTGCCAAGCGCTTTTGTTTCTCCATCCCAGGGGCTTCCTGGGAGCTGGGAGGGCAGGGGCTCGTGCTTGGCCCCTAAATACCCCACTTGTGACTTGGGAGGGGGCAGAGGCAGACAGGGATGCCCACCTGGTGGGGAGGGTGGTCTGACTTCTCACCCTGGCCCCAACCCGGCCACCGGACTCACAGCTCTCCTCCACCCTGTCTACATGGGTGGCGTTCTCCAGGCCGAGCCTGGCTGGGAAGCTGCCCTTGGGAGTGTGTCCAGGAATTCAGCTGGCCGGCCGAGGCACCTCCCTGAGGACAGGGCAGGGGTGCCTGGGCCCACCCTGGGATGCCAGTGCAGTGCCAGGCTGGTCTGTGGGGCCAGGCCCTGGGCCCTGGGCTGCCCCCAGAAGCCCTGGATAGAATGGAGCAGAGCTTCTCAAATTTGAGGTCACCTGCAGGCTTCCTGTGCAGGGTGACCTCTTTGCAAAGTCTTTCTTCAGTTGGACAGAGGGCGAGGCTGTGGAAGAGAGAGGAGAGAGTGGAGCACAAGTCTGGGCCGAGGCCTGTCCAGGAGCTGAGGCTCAGGCAGGAGAAACTGAGGCAAGCCACTCTCCACTGTGAGAGCCTGGAACACTGGGGCTGCACTTCCTTCCCTTCCCCTCCCCCTTGTCTTCCCTGCCACTTCTGATCTCTCCCCCTCAGCTTCTCTGGCAGGAGGGAAGGATTTTCTCAAAGTTTGGCTTTCCCGGGGGATCTAGAAGGAGTACCTGGCACCCAGCACCATGGGTCTAGGTAATGGGCCAGAAGGGGGGAAGCAGCGAGTGACCCTGTGAGTGACCAGAGCTGAATCCTGTCACCTCCTCCCAGAGGAGCTGCCAGGTCCAGAAGCGAGGGCATCAGATGAGGCAGCCCCTGTGCCAGGAGAGCCTCCTGTGCTGCACCGGGCAGACGTGGGCACCCCGCTGGCCCCTCTGGCAGGGGGCTGAGCCTGTGTCCCTAGGGAACAGCTGTCAGTCAAGGTTGTTTGGGGATTTGGGAATCTGGCCTGAACGGGGGGAATAGGCTGCACCTCCATAGCCCCTGCTCTGGGCAGGGTGGGTTTGAGCCCTTTTCCCTCTGCCCAAGAGGAAGTAGGAGAAAGAAGAGCTCAAGAGCCTTGGGCCAGAGGGCCCCTCAGTCCCTCGACCCCTCAGTCGCTCTGGTGCCTGTTCCCATGTCCCACCCAAAGGGACCTGACACGGCCCAGGAGGGCAGGGGCAGCAAAGAGCGGGGATCTGTGGAGACTCCTGCGGGGGGGGAGGCGGTGGCCTGGAGTCAGCACATGCCCCTCTCCCGGCCTGGGCAGGCAGAAGGGAGTTCCGCCCCCAGTTAATGGCTTCCTGGCCAAGCCCAGGCAGAACCACAAGGCAAAAGTCCCTCCAAATGTCCCGCAGGAGTCCTCCAGTAACCGGAGGCAGGAGACGAGGCGGCAGACCAGGGCCCCTGAGCTGATGGTGTCAGAGTCACTGAGGTCCCCCTACCACCTCATGCTCCCCCCACTAAGTGGCAAGGGAGCAGAGGGGCCGGGGAGCGGGCACAATGCCCTCAGAGGTGGGTGTGGCTGGAGGGCCTGAGCTCTCCCTCCAACTCTGCATCTGCCCGACTCAGTCCCTCACTTCCCTCCCCGATCACACAGATTCCTCTGGCTCCAGCCCCCAGGCCCCCTGCCCGCTCCCCCTGCCTGATTGCCTTCCCCATCCAACTCCACACCTGCACCTTCTCTGCCAGCCTTCATGCGAATGGAGAGTGTGGAATGGGCTCCGAGCAAGTGTGTACAACAGGACCGCAGTGTGCGCGCGCGCACACACACATGCACATGCACACACACTTGGCCTCTTGGACTTGCTCCCAGGGAGCAGGTTCACACCCCACGGTCTCCTCTGCCTACCTATGAGGTGGGCTGGAAGATGCACTGTCCATGTGCCAGAAACATTTTCAAGCCAAACGTTGGTGAGAAAGTACATTTCAAAGACAAACTCTAAGCCTAAGTGTGGGTGGTGTTTGTATTTTGGGAGGGATTCCTAGGGCAGGACCAGGGTATCAGGGAAGAGGGAAGAACGGGAGCAAAGTGCACCCCAGCGAGGCAGAAGCGATTTAGGTCAGACTGAGGGTGACACTCCCCGAGCAGCAAGATGAGCCACAGGCCACCTCCTTTCAGCTGGTGACTAAACATGGCATAGAGGCCTGGGGTCTGGCCCAAGGTTAGAGTCTCGCTAAGCAGAGGTTGGGACGGACAGCCCTATAAATTCCTCCCAGCCTCCAGTCGTCCTCTCTCAAATGGCTCCTGATTGTGACTCGGGAATCCGAAAGACAGCGTGTTCTCATTTCTCCCTGCACGCTGGAAGTTTCCCTTCCTTCAGGAGGACCGCTTTCCCCAACTGAGACCAAACTCCCAGGGCTGTTGCTACCCTGGAAAATTCCTGGAACTTCTGTGGGCTCTGTATCCCGGCTGCTACCATCCTGGAGGGAAGAGGGCCTTTCTGGGATTTAGTGAGTCCTTGCTACAAAATTGTGCCCAGTTTCTTTGTTTACCAAAGAGGATGCGAACAAAAGCAAAAGCATGTAAGGTTCTCACCTCAAACCCAAGCCCGTTCCTTCCTAGGATAACTCAGCCCCAAGTGCACCTCAGCCCTTCTCCTCTCAGGAGCCACTGGGTCCCCACTTAGATGTGCCAAGACCCGTCCAGGGGCGCCCACCTAGGCAAAGCCTTCTGGGTCTCCTCCAGCAGAGTCCCGTCCTCTCGATGTCTGCTCACCCAAAGACCACAGGGCTCCCCAGCAGCCAGAGGATGGCCTTCCTGCCCTGCAGTCCTCTCTGCCCTGAGCCCACCTGCAGGAAACTGTCTGGGCCCTGGGGAGGGGTCCGCTCTCAGCCGAGACAGAGTGACCCACAGATATCGCTCTGCTGATGCGTGAGCAAAATTTCTTCTTGATTTGTTTCTTCAGCAACAACTTGAAACAACTGTCCTTGCTCCTGGCTTCTTGAAAAGGAATCCTTCTGGGGCTGAGGGTGCAGCTCAGTGACCGGGTGTCTGTCTAGCATGTGTGAGGCGTGTGTGATTCTCAGCACCACAAAAAAGAGTGGATCCTTCTTCCAAAGCCCTCACTCACTGCCCAGTGTCACACCCGGAACAGGGCAGGCAGGTGGGAAAACCAAGTCCAGTGACGGCTTAATTCTCTCCCCTTCTCCTGCTCCCTGCTCTAGAGGTGTCTCTGCTGGAGAGGCCGGCACTGGAGGGTCAGACTCCAGGCTGCAGACCGGGCCAGACCCCCCCACACTCAGACAGGTGCATGAGCCGAGTCACCGACTCTGGGACGGCACAGCAGCACCAGGGCCGGGGCCCAGGGGAGACCGCTGCATATCCAAAGAGCCTGCAGGGAGACTAAGGAGGAGCAGGGGCAGCGTGCAGAGCGGGACTGGGTGGTGCAGCTCCCCTGTCCCCCACTTGGGGCCTCAGAGCCCCCTGTCTCACCCATTCCTGTCCTAAGAACCTCTCCAGCTGAGGGCAGCAGCCTTGGGCATCACCAAGACCTCTCAACCACAGTCCCCCCCGAGCACCCCAGCTGCCCCCACCCAGCCCACCACAGAGCCCGGTCCTCCCAGAGGATGGAGGATGACAGAGCTGTCCTAGGCGGCAGTCTCCATCCTAGAGACAGGACAGGGTACCCACCTCTGCCATTCTGTCCTGCCAGGCAGGAGGTAGAGGGTTGAAAAGGAGAATCTGCCCATGATCGTGTCCCAGCTGGGTCCCCCCCCACCCCGAGCACACAGTGTAATGGACGATGCTCCCATGGGAGTGTCCATGTGCCCCAGCCTGGGGCGGCTGCTGGTGCTTGCCTAGGTCCTTCTACCTGTGGGATGCTAGAGGAGGAAGGCACCTGCCCTGGAGGTGGCGGGTGTGCCAGCGTCCTAAGCTCGTGTTAGTAAGGCCAAGTATGACAGCGGCAGTAAGCCTGACTCATGGATGAGCAGTTCCTGGAGACATTTGAGGGCTGAGAGCACACTGAGCCCTAAGGTCTGCTCTTTCCTGAGCACTTGCACTGGGCCAGGTATGACCCTAACTTCATAATGCCACAGTTCCTTAAAGTGGGTCCTACCCACCCCTCCCCATTTTTCAGATGGGAGACTGAGGCTCAGTTATACTCTGAGGCATCCCAAGAGGCAGCATTTGGAGGAGTGTTTCTCTTATCTCTGACTGGCTCCACACAGGGGTCCTTAGCTCAGGAAAGCCTGTCGTGCGCTGGAGTCTAGCTCACAGCCTGCTGTCCCCAGCTGTCCCCAGCTCTCCCCAGGCCCTTTGTTTCCTGAGCTCAGAACTTCAGCCAGCTCCCCTGTGCTCCTGAGCCCCTAAGTGGTGGGTCCCCTCCTGCACTGGTACCTCACAGGACCAGCCCCCGATGGTGCCAGCCTGTGCCCGACTGTGCCAGCCTGTGCCCGACTGTGCCAGCCTGTGCCTGTACCCCTGTGCCAGGGCAGCTGGCCTGGGTGAAGCTGGGTAGGCTCAGGGCTGGGGGTGGGGAGCAGCTCTGGGCCTGGTATAGCTCCACTCAGCCTTGCTCCTGACAAAAAGCCTCCTCCACCCTGGGCATTCTAGAATGTGTCATAGGGCAGATGGTATGGGGAGATGAGTGTCGATGAGCTGGTGAGCACATCTTACAGCCACTTCTGGTTGGAGAGGGACCCCCCTAAAGGCTGTATCTTTATCACCCCCTCCCCTGTGCCCAGCACGGTGCCTGGTACATGGTTAATACATGAGACAATGAAATGGATGCAGGCAAGACTATATGCCAGCTCCCTCACCTTCAGGAGCACTGTGCGTTCGTGCGTGTGTGTGTGTGTGTGTGTGTGTGTGTGTGTGTGTGTCCATCCGTCTGTGCCCACCTGCTTCTGGGAACATGGAACCACAGATGTTCTCCACCAGCTAAGTGTGACACACAAGTACCACCTCCTCTGTACCAGGCACCGCTAGAAACAGCGATACCAAGATGGACGTGGCATGGCCTCTCCCCTGGCGGAGATCACCACCTTCTAGTGGAGGCATCAGCTTCATGGGCAGGGCACCAAGAGTCTCCTTGGGATCAGAGCTGGAAGTCAGACATGGTGTTGAATTATACCCATGTGATCCCCACAACTTCCCATTCTGGGGAGGAGCAGGCTGAGGCAGGAGGATTGCAGTTGGACGCCAGCCTGAGCAACTTAGTGAGACCTTATCTCAAACTAAAAAAAAAAAGTTAAAACCCATCAGAGCTGAATTCCAACTGTGTGCAGAGGGGCACGTGTTGGGCTCTTCCCAGCAGGGCTGCTAGGAGAACAGGGTCCCACAGGGGAGGCTGTTCTGCCTAGGAAGGGCATCACAGGGGACAGAGGTGGTGTCGGGGCCTTTGGAGGGGCTGGGAGCACCAAGTCTGGAAGTGACAGTGGCAGGGCCAGGGAGGAGCGGTCACCCTGGGAGGTGACCCGGGGCACCCTTCTGGATTGTGAAGCTGGAGCCTGGGCAGGGGCATCTGCTCACCGCTACCACCCTAACTCCCCATTTCTCAGCTCTGCCCAGCCTCCCTGGCCACCTCCTCCCTGGCGGGCCCTGGGGCCGCTTCTCTCCCCACCTCCAGTCCTGCAGGTGCCGGCTGCGTTGTTGAGGAAGCAGCAGAGGTCGTGAGTGGTCCCTGTGCCTGCAGAGCTCTTTGAGGGGATAGTGCAAAGGAGGCGCAGCTCTGTCCATCCGAGTCCCGGTGTAGTCAGGGTGCAGGCTTTGGAAGCTCCGAGGCTACCTAGGCTTCTGCTGCGCTGATAGAGGGAGGCTTCCTTGGGGCTGCATTAGCCTTGGCCTAGCAGGTCTACAGGGCTGCTAGCCCATCTCAGGACTTGGTTGTGCCAAGCATGAAATGCCTTACCTGGCGAGAGGGTGTGGATAAATCACGAGACCCCTCTTCACTGCTAGAAAAATGAGGTGGTCCTGGGAAACTTAATGCAGCTCCCAGAAGCACCTTTTAACCCCACCCAGGTGGCTGTGGGAGAGAGGTGTGGGGAGGAGTCTGCCCTGAACCCCAGCGGCCCCACCCAGCCACAGCCCCGGCTCCCCTCTGGGCTCCGCACCAGAGCCATGACCAGAGCGGCAGGTGCGTCTCGCCTCCCAGGGGGTCCCCGCTCTCACTTCCTGAGCCTACCCTGCTGGCTGGAGGGGCAGCGGGAAGCAGGGCAGAGCCAGACTCCCTGGGGCAGTAGGAGGCCCTAGCCCTGGAACAGCTCGGAGGTAATGGCTGAGGGTCAAGGATCTGCGATTCTGGCAGCAGCCGGTACGGAATGAGAGCCTTGCTGACCAGAGGGCCCTGCGCCAGGCTGTGCGGCCTCGCCTGCCTGCTCAGCGCCGTCTCCTCCCAGGTGCTTCTCAGCCTCCAGCGCCCCGGAGCCAGCCTGAGGCTCCTCCCCTCGGATCCCCCTGCACCTTGACAGCCCACCATGGGGACACGCCCCAGGACCAAGCCACACCTGCTGCTGCTGCTGCTGCTGCTGGCCACCAGGGCCCTGGTCTCCTCCCCAGGTAAGCGGGCTCATCTGGGCTCCGAAGGGTGACTATGTTCTCAAATCACTGCTATGATTTGGTGATGATTATGCAAATAATTGCCTCTGCGTTGCTGTAGGGCCTAGATTTCTGAGGCCACTTCCTTGCTAAAAATTCTCATTTGTGGATCTTACCTGACCTTTGAGGTTAGGAGTGGAAATGAATCTTTGTAGTGCTGTAGATGAGCAAAGAATGACCCAGAGAGCCCAAGTGGCTTACTCTGGGTCACACAGCAAGATTATGGCACAAGGCTCTCAGCCTGGAGCTGCACCATTTGTGTGTGTGTGTATGTGTGTGTTGTGGTACTGGGGATCAAACCCTGGGCTCACACCTGCTAGGCAAGCACACTACTACTCTTCCCAGCCCCTAGAGCTGGAACTTTAAGGCTGCACTGTCCCCCACAGGACTACAAAGCCAAGGTCAGTTCACTTGAACAGTGATGCCCAGATCTCTAGCCACACTTCAAGCGCCCATGGTCACCTTGGGTTGCTCACAGTCCCCGGCACAGGAAACAGCAATGATGCCCCAGAGCTCTGGGAGCTGCCCTCTGGGGACCAGTGGAGGGGAGCACCGAGCTGAGCTGAGGCAGAGCAGAGGAGCCTCGATCTTGTGCTGGTGCTGAGCTTGGAGGAGAGAGGAGGAGGGAGGTGAGACACAGGGCTGAGACCTACACTGCTAGAGCTGGGGCAGTGTCCAGGCCTGCGGCTCAGCAGAGGCTGGGGGGCTGCTGCTTGGCCTCTCCCCTGAGCCTACCACGCCCCCTCCCTGCCTGGCTGAGCAGGCCTTTCTTCTTCCCCTAGAGAGCGCCCCAGCAGGGAACACTGAACCCAGTACCCACCCTCCCCATTCCCAGGGTTCTCAGGGCTCAGGCTGCCTTCAAGGTTGAGCCAGTGTGCTTTGGTCCCTTGCGCCCACTGGCACACTTCCAGATGTTCTCATTTCATCCTCGCTGCCTCCCAATCTCGCACCCAACTCGAAGAGGCTCCTAGGAAACAGGGCTGACCTCGAGTGGGGATCTGGGGCTGCACAGAAAGGAGACACAGCCTGAGGGCAGAGGAGAGGTGCCTGGCCTCCTCAGTGGCCCCTCCCTCAGGGACAACTTGGTGCTGGACCTGCCCCATCCTAAGCAAGGAGTGTGGGAAGCACCCAGGGGCCTCAGGCCCATTGTGAAGGGTCCAGGACCTGCATCTCCAAGAGAGAGAAGGAGAGAGAGAGAGGTGCCAAATGTCATCACTGGTCCCCACCCTTGCCAGGAAGGTACCTCAGCCCTTGTCTTTCTTGCTGCTCTGCTCTTGGAGTAGAGCTCTGGGTTCCTGGTGCTCTGATCAGGGAAAAGCAGGAAGATCAACGAGGCGCCTCCTCCCTTCTGTGCTCTCTAAGCCCTTCCCCTTCGAGGCTCCGGATGCCCGGATCCAAGGAAAGAGTTACCAGGACAGGGAATCAGGAGAGAAGCTGTGACCACGAGGAACAAGGACAGCAGGGAGAGCTGGCTTTGCCTGGGAGTGCGTGTGTGTGTGCGAGTGTGTGCATGCACACATGTGTGGAAGCTGCATGTGTAGGTGGGTGTGTATGCAGCTGCAGAGGAAGTGAGGGTATGTGGTAGTGTCTGTGGACGTGGATGCCGTGAACCTGGAGGGGTAGGGGTGCGGCATGGGGAGATAAATGTCTGGAAGGGCCCCCAACACAGAGCTGGGCTCCCCACTGCCACCCTTCCGGAAGCACTAGGCCTTCCCTACAGCCCGGGCTCCGGGCCCACTCAGCTGCCCAGCACCACCCAGAGGGATTCCGGGAGCTGCTAGTGATTCTGATTGCTGACCTCTGGGACGGAACAGGACCCCTGGTGGTTCTGATGGACACCGTGGCATGGTGTGCATGGGTGTAATCCCAGCACTCTGGGAGGCTGAGGCTGGGGGATTGCAAGTTCAAGCCCACCTTGGGCAACTTAGAGACTCAGTGAGACCCTGTCTCAAAATAAAATATTAAAAAGGGCTGGGGATGCAGCTCAGTGAGAAGGCCCTGGGCTCCATCCCCAGTACCACAAAAAGAAGAGGCAGAGGGAGAGAGAACAGGACAGGGAGAGGGAGGGGGAGAGGAGGAAGAGGAGAAAAGGAAGAGAAAGAAGAATGCTGGCCAAGGGCAAAATCTCCTGGTCTGCTTCTTGCTGTGCGGGGCAAGTCATGGAACCCTTTCTAAGTCTGTTTCCACGCTGGTAAAATAAGAAAATGTCAAGAGTTTACAGGAAGGAGCTACGGGCTCATGGTACCTGATAAAGAGCAAAGGATTGAGCAACAATGTCTACTTGTACTGTTTCTTTCATTTATGTATTTACTATCAATAAATATACTATCCGTGAAATCACTCACATAGAAGAAATAAGTCTACACGGCCAGGCGCTGATGCTTGTGCAAGGAGACGCATGCATCTGGCCCACGGGGAGCTTAGAGAGACGTGTGTGTGTGTTATGCGTGTATGTGTGTGTGACACAAGCATGCAGGTGAGCGATGTGGCAGTGTGCACACGCGGGTACTGGCTAAGTGTAAGGGTGTGCATGCAGCTGAAAGCAGAGGAGAAATTTTTCAGGAAGAAAGAGTCTCCAAGCCTCAGTATGCCTGGGCCCCAGGCGGCCCCACCACCCAGACAACTTGGAGAGTTGCTATTGTCTGAGGTGCTCCCCAGCATCTTGCTGCCTCCCATCTTCCCTCCCACTCCCCTCCCGGTGGTCCCAGCTGTGTGTGGGGGGTCTCTACCCTCCACCACCATCATTAACTGGGGATTAAGCTGGGCTAACAGCCCAAAGGAGATGCGCTGGGCCCTCCGAGGCCTGCGGTGGCAGTGAGGGAGGGGCTGGGTGTGAGAAGGGTCCAGGACCCCTGTGTCGCCCCTTCCTGGGAGCCCTCCCTCCTCCCTCATTCTGAGAGCTGCTGAACAGCTGCCCTCAGCCTCCAGGGGCCAGGCCGGGCCTCAGCTGCAGCATAGGGCCCATCCCTGGAAGAGGCTGGTGGCTGGGTGCACCCCGAAAGGAGGCCCTAATTGATTACCGGCCCCTCCCCTCTGTGATCCGCCAAGGAGGGCTGAAGTGAGCTGCACTGAGAGGTGCCCCCCCCCGTGGCCCGTCAGGCTGGCAGGAGGTGTGAGGTGCTGCCCCCTCCATACTGCTGAGGCAGGATGGTGGTGGTGGTGCTGAGAGAGAGGCATCTGGCCAGACAGGGCTGCCGCGCCAACTCCGTCTTCCCGTGTGACACCCATTGGTTTAGCAATTTCAGGAAGCCTGAGGTCCAGACCCGGCTGTGTCACAGGCTTGCTGTGTGACCAAGTCATTCCCTTTACTGAGCCTCTTGAGGGGTGACTGGGATTTTACGAGACTGCCACCAGTCCACCCGCCCTCCATCCACCCTGTCAGCCCTTCCTTCTCCCCAGGCCCCACCCCACCCACACGCGGGGCCAGCAGACATTTGCTGACCACTCTGCCCTGCACCAGCTGCCTCGGCAGCGCTCGGGTGAATCTTCCCGCAGGGCCCGGGAGGTGAATGCCTACTCTTTCCTTTCACAGGTGAAGACACTAGGGCCCAGAAGGGGACCACAGCTTGCCCCAGAAGGCCCAGCCTGGCCTCCTACCAGAGCGTGTTGCACTGGGCTGCTCAGCCCCCAAATGGCACAGACTCTAGGGACACACACCCTTGCTGCCCCTCTTTCTGTGCAAATGCTGTACCACTGAGCTCAATGCCCCAGAGAGAGACAAGGGCTCGCTAAGTCACCCAGGCTGGCCTCAAACTTGGGGTCCTCTTGCCTCGGCCTCCCAAGAAGCTGGGTTTACTGCCTGCACCACCATGCCCACCTCAGAGGAACTCTCTGAGGCTCCCCTGAGTCCCCCAGGGCTGTAGCAACTGCTCCCGCTGTGAGGGTCCCAGATCCTTGGTCCCAAACCACTATTACGGCATATGGCATCTTGCAATGTCAGTTGTCTGTCTCCTTGCAGTCTTCGAGGTCCCTCAGTCTGTGTCTGACTCATTTCAAAGCCCAGTGCCCCATATACAGCAGGTGCTTAATACCTGAGGGTAGTGTGTGTGATTGAATGAGCTGACTTGACCAGTGGGGGCCTGCCCAGCCTATTAAATTCAATTTTAAGTTAATTAAGATTAAATTATCTTAATAACTCAATTCCTCAGCTGCATTAGCCACACTTCAAGCTCTCAGTAGCCACAAGTGGCCAGTGCCCGCCATATTGGACAGGGCAGAAAGTGGAACATTCCCATTGTCCCAGAGACTTCTGCTGGATGGCACGGGCTGGAGACCAGGCTTCAGCTAGCCCCGGGCCCTGAGGACTTGCGGTGTTCCCATCTGCAGCTTGGAATTTAGCCCAGGGATCCCCAGCCGCCTTTGGGCCTGTCTTTGAAGACCAGCCTCTCGGCCTGCTGTTCCCAGAGGAGTCCACAGAGGAGCAGGTGACCCTGGTGTGCCGGGCCCGGGCCAGCCCGCCTGCCACCTACAGGTGAGGCCCCTGCAGTTGGTGCTGGGAGGCCCTAGGGAGCCTTGGTTTCCCCTCCTGTCGGCCCTGTCACCAGGTCTGCAGCCCCTCCTCTGTCCTCTGTGGCAGGTGGAAGATGAATGGCACAGAGATGAACCTGGGACTAGGCTCTCGTCACCAGTTGGTGGGGGGCAACCTGGTCATCATGAACCCCACCAAAGCCCAGGATGCTGGCGTCTACCAGTGCCTGGCCTCAAACCCCGTGGGGACCGTCGTCAGCAGGGAGGCCGTCCTCCGCTTCGGCTGTGAGACTTGGGGAAGGACCAGGACACTGAGGGGAGGGCAAGAGGGGCGGGAAAGGTTCCCGAGGGACAGGTGACACCCTCAAGCTTGGCTTTCCTACCTTACTCCACACTCACTGATGACCTCCAGCTTTCCTGTGGAGGATGAAGCGGGGAGGGGACCCGGCCTGGAGGATGGTGCCTGAGCCCCATCTCTGTCCCCAGTTCTGCAGGAATTCTCCAAAGAGGAGCGAGACCCAGTGAAAGCCCACGAAGGCTGGGGGGTGATGCTGCCCTGTAATCCACCTGCCCACTATCCAGGTGAGTGGGGGTCCTGGGGATGGGGGACATGGGAAAGGCTTGGATGCTCTACAGTGGAGGAAGGATGAAATGAGAGGTGGCAGGTGACCCTAACTTTAAGTGACTTGCTTCTGCCATTTTCTAGCTGCCCCTGAACGTAGGTCCCAAGCACCTAGCACTCTCCAAGGACAGATCAGAGTCACATCTCCCCACAGCCCCAGCTCTGAGCACAGGGACTCTCAGGGCAGGGTTAGAAGATCACTGCCAGCATGTTGGGGTCTCACCCAGATCAGCCCTGAGCCCAGCACTCCCTGGTTTCCTCAAACTCCCCACATCCTAGGCTTGTCCTACCGCTGGCTCCTCAACGAGTTCCCCAACTTCATCCCAACGGACGGGCGTCACTTCGTGTCCCAGACCACAGGGAACCTGTACATCGCCCGGACCAATGCCTCCGACCTGGGCAACTACTCGTGCCTGGCCACCAGCCACATGGACTTCTCCACCAAGAGCGTCTTCAGCAAGTTCGCACAGCTCAATCTGGCTGCAGAAGGTCAGGGTCTCTGGGGGGGCGTGGCAGGAGGGGGGAGCCGAGAGGGAAGATGGGGGTCCCCTTTGGAGATGGTGAAGGGCCTCAGAGCCTTGTGCCAGGCCCCAGAATGGGAACAGTGGCTCCTGAGATCCCACCCGCTTCGCTGCCCAGTGGCCCGAGCACCAACAGGGCTGCGATGCTGGGGTCCTGAGTGCAGGAGCTGCCCCGCCGTGGAGTCACTGCCTGTGGTCTGCAAGACCCTCTCTCCCCAGATCCCAGGCTCTTTGCGCCCAGTATCAAGGCCCGGTTCCCTGCAGAGACCTATGCGCTGGTGGGACAGCAGGTCACCCTGGAATGCTTTGCCTTTGGGAAGTGAGTGATGGGGTGAGGGTCCCCAGGGTGGGACATAGCACCTCAGGGGCATGGGGAGGGCGGGCAAGGTCACGCACAGCCAAGTTGGCCCCTTGCAGGGCCCGAGGGTGCTGAGCACTCCCTGCAGGTGAGGCACTTCTCACCAGGGGTTTTAAGTGTATGGGTCACATGGTCCTGTGGCCACACGTGCAAGCTCTGACAGTTTGAGGAATATCCATGCTGCAGGCTGATGTGGACCCCAGTCTTCCAGGTTCAAATCCCACCTCTGCCACTTGCTGGCTGGGAGACCTTGGGTAAACTACCTAACCTCTCTGTGTGTCAGTTTACTCATCTGTAAATGGTGATGATAGTAGGATAATAATAGCATCCTCGAGTAGGTTAAATGAGTTAACACATATACCATCTGTAGAACAGCGCCTGGCAGTCAGTAAATACTTTATGCATGTTAACAGATATCTACTTTTAAAATTACAACAGAAGGGGTTATCTTTCTTGTTCCCCAGGACAAGGACTCACTGGAATGGGACTAGGCAATAGCAGATGCTCAATAAATGTTTGTGGAATGAATTTTTAAAAAGTGATTTGTGCTTCGATCTCTCATTCCTCCAATATGGGGCTGCTGCTCTGTGAAGAGATATTAGGCCTGCGAAAACGCCCATGAAAAGCATATGGGAGGACAACACTGACTCTCTGATTCCTAATTAGGCATGGTGGCTTGCCCCTGTAACCCTAGCACTTAAGGAAGCTAAGGCAGGAGGACCACAAGTTCCAGCCCATCCTCGTCAACTTAGTGAGATGCTGCCTCAATTGTTTTTTAAATAAAGAGCTGGGAATGTAGCATCCCTAGGTTAGATCCCAGTACCAAAAACCAAACAAAAACCCCACCGATCTGCAGTCCGTTTTAAGGCACAGGTTACTAATAGCTAAAGAGACTTTCAAACGTGGGCTGAAAGGGCAGGGAAGGCCTACAGGCTCAAGTGCCCGCCAGCCTCCGGGGACAGACCAGCATTGGTGGCTTCACGCTGTGGCAGGGGACAGGCGAGCCAGGAGCCCTGCTTCTGGTTCCTTTCCCACTTGGATTCCGAGCCTACCTAGGAGAAGAGCAGGAGAATCGCCTGGCGCCTCTGTCCCCTCCCAGCTTCCTGGTCCCCTGCCCAGCTGCCCAGCAACCCCAGACGGGCTGGGAGTCTGGTTCTCAGCAGCCCTGCGTGCGGAGGCGCACCTGCCCAGCCCACCTCCCTGACTCAGTCTCCCCCGCCAGCCCAGTCCCCAGGATCAAGTGGCGCAAAGTGGACGGCTCCTTGTCCCCGCAGTGGGCCACCGCCGAGCCCACCCTGCAGATCCCCAGCGTGAGCTTCGAGGACGAGGGCACCTACGAGTGCGAAGCGGAGAACTCCAGGGGCCGCGACACCGTCCAGGGCCGCATCATCGTGCAGGGTACGGGGGTGGGGGGCCCTGGGCTAGGAGAAGCCCCAAAGCTGGTAGGAGCCCTCTCGCCCCAGGGCTGCCCCGGGTATGGGATCAAAGAGGCTGCGGCTGCAGGGGCCAGCTCAGAGCCTCAGCCAGGCGTGCCGGAAGCGCACAGGAGGCTTCAGGATGACCTAAGCCGCTGAAGCAGCCGCCGGGACAACCGCGGAGCGCAACTTTCCCCTCCTTTTCCCCTTCTCCCCTTTGTCTTCTCCATTCCAGGATGCAGGGAGCCCCCTCTGCTGTCTGGAACAAGTACTGCAGGCTTGCGATTATTCCGTTCTAAGCGTCCGGCTGCTCCCTTTCATCTCGGGTTTCTCTCCCTTGCTCTCTACAGCGCAGCCCGAGTGGCTCAAGGTGATCTCAGACACAGAGGCCGACATAGGCGCCAACCTGCGTTGGGGCTGCGCGGCCGCCGGCAAGCCCCGCCCCACAGTGCGCTGGCTGCGGAACGGGGAGCCCCTGGCCTCCCAGGTAACCCGCCCCACCCCCCCGACAAGCCCCTCCTCTGCTCAGCGGGCTCCCTTGGCACCCTAATGCCTCCCCGCGCCCTAGCAGCTTCTCTGGGGCGATCGGGTGGATCTGGGCGTTCTTCCGGCAGAGTCACATGGCCACAGGCTGGGCAGCTGCACAGAATCCCAGAGAGCTGGGTGTGGGGTGTGGGCCTCAGTCACCTGGCCCTCTGACTTCAAGGGGGCCTGGCAATCTCAGCTCCTGGGCTTCCAGGTGTCCCTGAGGTAGGCCTGGGTCCGTGAGCCCCACCCCAAGGCACTGAGCCTGGCGCCTCCCCCTCCCCCTCTCCCTGGGCCTGATCCCCTGCCCCGCGCTGCCCTGGCCAGGGCTCGGCACAGAACCGGGTGGAGGTGTCGGCCGGAGACCTGCGGTTCTCCAAGCTGAGCCTGGAAGACTCGGGCATGTACCAGTGCGTGGCCGAAAACAAGCACGGCACCATCTACGCCAGCGCCGAGCTGGCCGTGCAAGGTACAGGGCCCCGGGGAGGGGACCGCAAGTGGGGGCGCCAGCGTTCTGAGTCTTGGGCTCTCTAACATCACACATACTCACGCACGCACACAAACACACCCGAAAGCCAGTGCTTGCCACAGAGAAAAACATGGCAAAAGACATCGCCAACCATGTTGATTAGACCTGTGTTTGACGCAGAGCCTTCAGCACTTGGCCTTTGGCAAGCTGCTTACTGTCTCTGCCTCAGTTTCTCAATTTATAAAACTTGAGGAGTGAGCACCCTGTCTGCATCCCACTGCCACAGGAGTGAGACGACAGAGGCGGAGCATACAGGGTCTGCCCTTCGTGTGATAGGTGCCCACCCCTCGACAGTTACTGTTAATGTTTAGTTGTGTGACTCAAGGCTGCTGAGCCCCACTTTGCCCATCTGTAAAATGGGTACATTGCTACCTACCACTTTAAGTTATAGTGAGGCTTAACTAAGATTCATTCATTCACTCAACTAATACTTATTCAACACCCCCTAGAGAATGGAAACAAAAGATCACAACTCTACCTTCAGGCAGCTTACAATCCAGTAGAGGGAGAGGGACAAACACAAAATCAAATGATTACACAATGTCTGACGGCCATAAAAATGCAGCATAAAGAAAATTCAGTAGCGTGAAGGGGGTGAGGTGGGTTGGTCAGGAAAGACTTCTCACACTTGGGATGTGAGCTAAGTGTTAAGAAGAAGCCAGCCCTGTGACACTCAGGGAAATTTCCTGGCAAACATTATAGCAAGTGCAAAGGTCCTGAGGCAGGAAGAGTCTTGGCAACTTCAAAGAACAACAAAATTCAGAGGGTTAGAGGAGAATGAGTGAGGGAGAGAGTGGAGCAGTTTGTGATGGGAAAGGTGGGGGACTCATGTTTGAGCCGCTGTGAGGCATTCATACTTTTTTAAAAGATGTTCCCAGCTGCTGGGTAGAATGAAATTGTAGGAGGGAAACACAAACAGGAGGACTTTTCAATAATCCAGGCAGGCTGGGCATGGTGGCACATGCCTGTAGTTCCAGCACTCGGGAGGCTGAGGCAAGAGGATCACTGCAATTTCGAGGCCATCCTGGGCTACATACGGAGTTCAAGGCCAGCCTGAACTACATAGTGAGACCCTGTCTCAAAAAAACTAATCATCATCATCATGGTCTTCATCCAAGCAGGAGATTTAGTGGCTGGCTGGGGCAGAGCGGTGGCAGTGGGGTGCCGGAAGGTGCTGCACTCTGGACGCGCCCTGGATGTGGGGCTCCAGGAGCCCCTGCATTGCTCTCTGGAGGTGTTCAGAGGGCCCAGCACACGACCACGTGACACCCACCCCTTCCTTCCAGCTCTGGCCCCGGACTTCCGGCAGAACCCCGTCAGGCGCCTGATCCCCGCGGCCCGGGGTGGGGAGATCAGCATCGCCTGCCAGCCCCGGGCGGCGCCCAAGGCCACAGTGCTCTGGAGCAAAGGGACTGAGATTCTGGTCAACAGCAGCAGGTGCCGCCCGCCTTGCTCCCGGAGCCACGCGCCCCCCTCTTCCGGGTCTCCCCTCGTGTGACTGTGACCCCAGTGGGCCACATCTGCCTTGTCCTTGCTGCAGGCTGACAGTGACGCCAGATGGCACCTTGGTTATAAGGAACATCAGCCGCTCGGACGAAGGCAGATACACCTGCTTTGCTGAGAACTTCATGGGCAAGGCCAACAGCACGGGCGTCCTGTCTGTGCGAGGTAGGGGCTGAGCCTGCCAGGGCGTCCTCCCAGTGTCCCGCTCTGCTTCCGAGTCACCCCAGGATTCAAGATCAACCCTCTCCAGTCAGTCCTGCCCCAGCTCACAGGGCGCTGCGGTCAGGATGTCCGTCGGTCACAGTGCTATGCAGGGCAGAGCCTCTTGTCCTACTGTGTATCCCTCCCTGGGCTTTCTCCTCCCCCTAGACACCCAGAGGCCTTGTTTGCTATTCTTTTTTCAAAAAATGTTTTGCAGATGCAACCAAGATCACCCTGGCCCCCTCCAGTGCTGACATCAACTTGGGTGACAACCTGACCCTACAGTGCCATGCCTCGCATGACCCCACCATGGACCTCACCTTCACTTGGACCCTGGATGACTTCCCCATCGACTTCGATAAGCCTGGGGGCCACTACCGGAGGGCCAGCGTGGTGAGCCCCTTCCCTCCTTGCAGCCAGACGGGGGCGCGCTGGGTCCCCAGCCGTCCCACCCGAGGCCCCTCCACAGCAAGCTCACCCTTAGGTTAAGGGCCAGCCAAGGACCAGGCATTCAGGAGAGGATGAGAGGCAAACAGGATCCTGAGCGCCCAAAGGCCCTCCCACAACTGCTCTTGTTACCCTGTCCCCCAGCGCAGGGGATGTGGGAGCAGCTGCTCCCTGCCACTGACCAGACAGGACTGGACGTCAGGGCACAGTCATCCATCCCGAGCTCTGCCTGTGTCTCACGGCCCCTGGGCCACTTTCTCTGACCCTGTGCAGAAGGAGACTGTTGGGGACCTAACCATCCTGAGTGCCCAGCTGCGCCATGGAGGGACGTACGAGTGCATGGCCCAGACGGTGGTGGATAGTGCGTCGAAAGAGGCCACCGTCCTGGTCCGAGGTGACGTGGTTGCCCTCCTGTCCCCGTCCCCAGCTCCCTTCGGGGCCAGCTGTGCTGTCCTGACTCGCTTGCCTGGCTGCTGCTCTGCCTGAGAGGGGTGGGGAAGGAAGGCTTCCGGAGGGGCCCCCAAGCTGGGCCCGGCCACCCAGTCAGTACCTGCATGGTCTTTGCAGGCCTTAAGTGACTGGCATATTTTCTTCCAAAGTTAGATTTAAAGAAAAAAACCAATTCACCCAAGCCAGGCATGGTGATGCACACTTGTAATCCCAGCACTGTGGAGGCAGAGGTAGAATTGCAAGTCCAAGCCCAGCCTAGGTGACTTAGTGAGGCCCTGTCTCAACATTAAAAAAAAATTTAAAAAGAGCTGGACCAAGGAAGCAGGTCGGCGTCTGGGGTCAGTATAGAGCCTAGGGATGTAGCTCAGTGCAAAGGCCCTGGGTTCAATCCCCCAGTGTTGAAGGAAAAAAATATCCACCCTTAAACATCCCAAGACAGTACTTTGCTGGGCTCAGTCTTCAAATTTAGTGCTGGAAGAGCTCTACTGTCCACCCCTCTAAGAGTGGCCACTGTGAGCGCCCGCTGTCTAAGATACATCCCTCCCCCACACCCCACTCACTGTGACGGCCCTGGCTCCCACCGGGTATGTTTGCCGCGCCCTCTGCTGCCCTGTTTGGGTACTGCACCCGCCCAAGCTAGGCCTGAATCCCATTGAAAGAGCCCATACCTGAGCCCACTGCTCCCTGCCTCTTGGAACAGGTCCGCCAGGTCCCCCGGGAGGCGTGGTGGTGAGAGACATCGGTGACACTACCGTCCAGCTTAGCTGGAGCCGTGGCTTTGACAACCACAGCCCCATTGCCAAGTACACCCTGCAAGCTCGCACCCGACCTGCAGGGAAGTGGAAGCAGGTTCGGACTAGTAAGTGTGAGAAGGCTGGCTGAGGGAGGGGTCAGAGGGCAGGGGGCGGGGGTCAGACAGCCAGGGCTGAGCCTGGAGCTTCAGGAGGGACACGTTTCACACTCGGCTGGCAGGGAATGCCCAGGCCGGGGAGAGCGGAAGTGCAGAGAGAGTTGGCAGGAGCTCAGTCCTTGCCCTGAGACTTGGAAGGTTAGTACCCGAGCAGCGAAAATAGTCATGGGGTGTGGGGTTGCACGCAGCATTAGCAAGGGCACCAAGGCACCAGCGCTTCTGAAAGAGCTACCGAGTGCCTAGTATATGGCCCACTCCACAAAGGCTGGGTACCAAGGAGTTTCCGCCCAGGGCCTGCCAGCTACATGCAGAGTAAAACATGCTGCCCCATGACTCCCTGGTGCCTTACAGATCCTGCCAACATCGAGGGCAACGCTGAGACCGCCCAGGTGCTGGGCCTCACTCCCTGGATGGACTATGAGTTCCGGGTGTTAGCCAGCAACATCCTGGGTACTGGCGAGCCCAGTGGGCCCTCGAGCAGAATCCGGACCAAGGAAGCAGGTCAGGGGTCTGGGGGTCCGTATAAAGCTCTCAGCAGGGCAGAGACCCTGGGCCCCCATACAGGGAACCCCAAGGGAGCAGCCATTGTGAAGTTCCAGCCCTGCTCACCAGGTTTCCGGTCCTAACAAAACAGTTGAGAAAGGTCACCAAGCTGGGACAAGTGCGGGTGCATGGATGAACTGCCTAGGCCAGATGCCTCACTTAAAACCTGAGCCAACCTTCATCTGACATGCATCTGTCATTTTTTAAGTTTAATTTTTTAAAAATGGGAAACCAAAGTTTGAAGAAGGGAAGGGTCACATTGGCAAAGTCTGGACTTGAACCCAGGACCCTGGCAGGTAGGGAGATGTCCTCCTAGACAAGCATGTGCAGCAGAAATCAGTTAATTAGAAGATGTGTGTGTGTGTGTGTGTGTGTGTGTGTGTGTGTGTGTGTGGTGCAGGGGGCTGGGGAAACAGCTGGTCTCTCCACACCCTTGTTTAAATGGCTTCTTTGGAGCAGGAGGAAGAAAGCAGGAAAGGGGTGTGGGTGTCTGAGCGGAAGTAGGGCAGGTGGAGGGACAGGTGCAGGCCATGAGAGCCAGGGCCCAGGGCCACAGCAGGGAATGGGGACCCTGCCTCCTCCTCCTGCCCGCCCAGACCTCAGCAGGGCATGTGCTAGGCTGGTCCTCACGTCGCCCCTCGCCATACTCCCTCCTGCTCTGGGCTGACTCTCTGGGCTCTTTCTGGAGTCTCAACTATTTTAACTCGTACCTCTCCTAAGTGGGAAATTCCAGACAGGGCATCTTCTTCAACCCTAACAACTTGAAGATGAAGGGCTTCCTTTATTCTAGCATCCCAGAGTTGATGAGCCCAACGGTACCTGTGCTGCAAAGGCACAGCGAGGGGCTTTAAAGTCCAGCTGGGCTACACATCAACTGTGTGGGCATCGGCAAGGGCACTAATGACGCACACCTCACGGGATTGAACGGCAGCCAGTTTCAGTGCTGCTTGGCAAGTGCAAGGCCTGAAGATGTCACCACCAGAGCCAAGTGAAGTTTCTGTAAGGATATTCAGAGCCCAGCCAACCTGCAGGAGCTGAAAAATACACCCTTGGTTTATACAAAAATACAGCCTTGTTTAATACTAGACAATTAGGAGATGGAATCTTCCACAGAAAGAAAAATAGTAATAAGACACCCTGGAACCCAAAAGAAATGGGGTTCTTGTTTCCTTGCTTTGTTTTTGTTTTTTTTTTTCTTCTCCATTAACTACAGTTCTGGGTAATTGATTCCCCTTCATTTAACGCAAACTGGAGTTGGTTTCTGCGTTTCAGTTTAAGTCGACACGACTGTCATTTATGCAGCACCTACTGTATGCTAGCCGTTCTCGTTCAGTTTCACTCGCGTGACAGCCTTTTAGAAAAGCATTATCTTCACCTGAGGGAGCAGGGAAGCAGAGGCACAGCAGGGTTAAGTTTCTCAGCCGGGGGGAGACACTGCTAGTAAATGGCAGAGATGGGAATTGATCTCAGGTCAGGGCCCATGCAAGGTGCCTCTGTCCTGGAGAGCTCTGCAGGCGTGGGTGCAGGCTCAGGGCTTCTGTCCGCTTGTTGCCCATTAACAAGCCACATCTGTGTCCCTTGGCCCCTGACAGTCCCTTCGGTGGCACCCTCAGGACTCGGCGGAGGAGGTGGAGCCCCCGGAGAGCTCATCGTCAACTGGACTGTAAGCCGGCAGGGACGGAGGCAGAAATATGCCTTCGCCTCTCAGGGGCCGGGCCTTGTCCCACATCCCAGCCCACTCGGCCCCCATTTGAGCCGTGTGCAGAAGGGACCGCCACCGTTCTGACTTACAGGCTGACAACTCCCTCTTGCCCTTTCTTTTGCTGCCCTGTCCCCACATCCACTGCAGGCTAAGCTAAGACCACAGCGGGCACAGGCATCCCGGGGCTGCCCCTCTTGGCAAAGGTTGGGTGGAGCCAGCGGATGGGCGGGGAAGCCTCCGCGACCCGGCGCCCATGCTGCGCTCTTGCCCTCAGCCCATGTCACGGGAGTACCAGAACGGAGACGGCTTCGGCTACCTGCTGTCCTTCCGCAGGCAGGGCAGCAGCAGCTGGCAGACGGCCCGAGTGCCTGGCGCCGACACCCAGTACTTCGTCTACAGCAACGAGAGCATCCGGCCCTACACGCCCTTCGAGGTCAAGATCCGCAGCTACAACCGGCGCGGGGACGGCCCCGAGAGCCTCACGGCCACAGTGTACTCTGCCGAGGAAGGTGGGCCGCCCCGGGCCGCCCTCTCCCCAGCCGCTTGGGGGGGGGGGGCACTCGCGTCCCAGCTCTGCTAGGAGCAGGGGCCTCGCTTCCGGCGGCTACCTAGTCTCCCCTCCTCCAACTCCTAAGCAGGTGCAGTCCCGGTTGGGGCCGCTCTGTGAGACCCGGGGGTGCCCCAGGGAATCCAACCCGTTCTGTATCGGTCCCCAGAGCCCAGGGTGGCCCCCACCAAGGTCTGGGCCAAGGGCATCTCATCCTCGGAGATGAACGTGACCTGGGAGCCTGTGCAGCAGGACATGAACGGGGTCCTCCTGGGGTACGAGGTGAGCACAGGCTGGGTGTGGGAGAGGAAGGGGTGCGGTCCAAGGAAAGCTGTACAATCAGCTCAGACTTCGGCTCAGACTTCAGGGAGAAGTCGACTCCAAATTCTGCCTTGATTTGGAAGAGGTCTTAGTATTACACCGCTATTAAAATAGGTTTGCGTTTATGGGTCAGCCATTTGAAGCGTACTGGGGCCCAGGGCGCTACTCCACAAGCACGAATGCGAATTTCCTATCCCAGTGGAATCCCCTCAGTCACCGGGCTGGAGCAGGCCGTGTCTAGGCTGAGCCTGGGCCCACCCTGGTCACCCTCCCACCCGCCCGTGTCCCAAGCAGTATTCTGAGCCTGGGTGCCCTGCTGGGCTGCCAGTCCCGGGGCCTCACACCCATGTGCCCTGCTCTCTGGGTGCTGGTGATGTAGCATTCAGGTTCTGAGACCCGGGACTGAGTCACAGGACTCAGGTGAGCAGGACAGGAACCGAATGGGGCTGGGGCAGGGGGACCCTGGGCTTGGCACTGGCCCCAGGGCACCCCTGCCCGCCTCAGATCCGCTACTGGAAAGCTGGGGACAAAGAAGCAGCTGCCGACCGAGTGAGGACAGCAGGGCTGGAGACCCTTGCCTGCGTCACCGGTCTGCACCCCAACACCAAGTACCATGTGACCGTGCGGGCCTACAACCGGGCCGGCACTGGGCCCGCCAGCCCTTCCACCAATGCAACAACCATGAAGCCCCGTGAGTCTGGGAGCCAGCAGGGAGGGAGGGAGGGAGTGGGGGCCTCCAGGACCACATTTTGGCCTCTGTCACACACAGGACACCTGCTGTGCCGCTCAAGCTCTGGGCTGGGCAGAGGCAAGGCTATGGGGATAGAATTCACGGCCTCACTCCCTGGATTTTCATGGGCTTTGTTTCTTAGCCAGGGGCCACAGAATGTTTGGGTGTTTTCTGCTTGGGCGGATGCTCAGGAAGGGCTGGCTGAGGGGAGGGGTGGGGGAACGGTGTGGGAGTCTCTTCCACTCCCCCTCCTGCAGCGCCTCAGCGACCTCCAGGCAACATCTCCTGGACCTTCTCCAGCTCCAGCCTGAGCATCAGGTGGGACCCTGTGGTCGCCCTCCGAAACGAGTCTGCAGTCACAGGCTACAAGGTGAGGAAGGGGCCTGCCGGCCTGGAATGGGGAGGAGCATGCAGAGCTGCAACTCATAGCAGAGGGATCTGAGTGAGGTCAAAGCCAAGGGGCTTGTGGGAGAGACTGTAAAAGGGGGCAGATGAGGTCGATGTGGAAGGTGAGCCTGGGGTGCAGGGGCAGCAACGGACTGGGGTGAGTCCTTCCAGCCTCAGGAGTCTTCAAAACCCAAGGAGGGAGCCACACAGGACTCGAGGCCGGAGCTGTGCGGGCCCCTCCCAGTGACCTGAGCAGAGCCGGGTGGAAGGCTGCTCCCCGCTGTAAGGACATCTTCCTGCAGATGCTGTACCAGAATGACTTACACCCCACTCCCATACTGCACCTCACCAGCAAGAACTGGATAGAAATCCCCATGCTGGAGGACACTGGCCATGCCCTGGTACAGATTCGGACCACAGGGCCCGGAGGGGATGGGATCCCTGCAGAAGTCCACATCGTGAGGAATGGAGGTGCCGACTTCTCCCCAGCCTCTCCCCCTGGGTTCTGAGGGTCCATCCAGACCACCCAAGCCAGGTCCAGCCCAAAGGGCAAGAAGGCAGGCAGGAACCAAAGTAGTGTGACGACTCAGGGTGCCTGTCCCGCTGCCCTCCTCCTCCTCCCTAGGGCCAGGGAAGTGAGGCTGCCTGTTCTGTGGGGTCTGGCGGGAGGCTGAAGATGAGGCAAGGCCCCAGCCAGTACTGTAGGTGTAGCTCGGAGGGTGGCCCCGGTGCCCCTGGCCCGCAGCTGGTCTCTGGTCTCAGGAAAGGTCTGGTTCCTGTCTGGAGGGCTGGGCTGGTCCCGGGCCGCACTGACTCAGCCCGTTTCTGCTGCTGGCTCCAGGCACGAGCATGATGGTGGAGAACGCAGCAGCCTGCCTGGCCCCACACCCCAGCGCCATCCTCTCCCGCTCCGTGCTGATGCTCATCCTCATAGGCTACCTGGAACTCTGAGCTCAGAGCCCTCCCTCCATGCCACAGCTGGACGCCCACCTCCCACTGACACTGCCAGCTGGCCCTGGCCCCTTCCAGATGCCACAATGGCCCAATGCTGTGCGGAGGGGCTGGCTTTACACACCTGCTTTAAACAGTACCCTTCTGTTGGAAGCAGGGTACTTCATATTCTGCCACTGAAGAGCACGACGCAAGGATTTTTTTCTTTGAATTGAGGCACCGGGCAGTGACTTCCATAATGATGCTGAGCCCACTGCCTGGGCCCCTTGAGGTCCTGGATGGAAGGAACAGGCCTATTGGGAAAGGGTTTTAATATGCATCTTCAAAGCAGCAGAGATGGCACTCTGAGACCACACGTGGCTCTGCCACCTGACAGCAGTCTTGGGCCCAGCAGGACACTGGGCAGGAACAGGCTAAAGAAGTGGGACAAAGCCTAAACATCAACCTCCTTCAGCTAAAGAGAAGGCAAACCCTGGGACCATAGCTGCCCTAGTCCCCCAAGGCGTGGCATGATGGGAACTGGCGTTGTCCTCCATGACCCTGCCTGCCCTGGTAGTTGAGACCCAGGGCCCCAATGCCCGGGGCTGGGAGCCCCAGCTCCTTTGGTGTGAGGGGTGAGGCTCCAGGCTGCTGCAGGGGGAGCTGCAAAGGGTTGAGGCTGGGACCCCTGGTGGAAGGGGTGCCTGCCCAGGCCTGAGGCATGGTCACCATCCAGGTGACACTGCCCTCCCAGCCAACACTGCCAACCCCCCCCCCGTCACCCCAAGGGTGACAGAGCCACTTTAGGTGGCTGGGTGACCTAAGGGCTTGCTTTGGGGATGTCCCCCACCCTGCCAAGACCCATGCCGCACAGCCCCCTGCCTTCTCCAGCCCTGCCTCTGCCTCCTCCACCTGCAGGCCCAGCCGCAGGCCGGAGTGCAACATCCGCTCTGTCCTCCCTCGTCCTGAGGCTGGGAGGCCCCTGAGAAGGCAAGGAGCAACGTGACCCTGCCTGCTCCCAGGAATTCTCCGGAGTGCCTGGCAAGACCAGATCCCCAGACCACTCTTCCATTTCCAGAGGAAAAGGGGTTAATAAAGGGACATCCTGCCTTGAGCTCAGGGTGCGTCACCAGTCACAGACCATCAGAGCCGGAAGAGGCCTTAGAGCTCGATTTGTCCACACGCTGCCCTTCACAGATGATGAAAAGGAGGGCCAAAGAGGGTTAGGGACACCTCCAGATCCCAGCCTGAGAGTGCCAGGGCTGGGGTAAGCACAGGAGTCTCCTGCCTGCCTGTTGGAGGCAGTGCTGATTGGCTTCAGCCTGGCTGTGAGGGTGGCTGAGGCCAGAGGGGGATGCGCCTCCTCCCTGAGGGTTCAGCTGGCCATCACGGTATCGGCCTGGCCTGGCCCACCTCCCAGTGCAGGCAGATTCCTGGAGACATCGGGCCCTCTTTGCCTTCTTAGCCTGGCTTCTGCTGGGAACTCAACATGCTGTGCTGGCTTGGAGGCCCTATCCCCCTGACCCTTGCTCCAGAAAGAGGCCAAAGCAAGGACAGAGTCCCCAGATGGAGGCCACAGTGGCAGTACAGCCAGAATCCCCAAAGCCTGCACTGATGGGGCCACTCATGTTCAGGGGCAACGGGATGGGCATCCGGAAGGGATCTGCCCCCCAAAGACCCTGAGCCTGTTTTCTGTAGTTTACAGTTAGAGCTCTATTTTGTTATGGTTTTTTAAACTTCTAAGTCCTGCTCTATTTTGTTGGGCAGGTTTATGTTGATGTTTACCCACTACGGTTTTTTAAAAATGTAAGCTCACACACCTTCTCCGAAGCCCCCTCATCTGCTCCCCATCCCCACATGAGGGCGCTGAGGCTCCGCTCCTGACCATTCTCCTCGAAGGGACTCCAGGTAGTCTAGCCTCCTCTCTCTGTCCCCTGCTGGCTGGGATTTGGCCTGTGCCCAGCTAGCTTCTATGCTTTGTCCGATTCTCTCCTCACTTCTCAGCTTCTGCAGGGAGGCAGGGGACAGGGGTCTAGTTCTTGGACTGGGGTCTGACCTGGCTTGGCACGGGCCGGAAGCTTGCTTGAAGAAATACAACCAAACACTTCCTTCTAATGAGGTCCATGAGGAAGAGGAAGGTGGATCTGCTGGGAGACCCAGGGAACATTTTAACCAAGAAACTCTGACCACTGTGCAGGTAGAATTTGTTTGGGGATGTAGAACTGTACTAAAGGCAGACGGTCCTGCAGCCTGAGATTCCAGGTAGAGTGCTAAGGTTTGCTGAGATGAGGTGACTTGAGGACATGCACGCTTGCAAAGCCCTCTTGCTTGGACATGTGCTTGCTTGGAGGAGCAGACTAGGCTACACAGCTTCTCAGTCTCTTCCTGGCGAGGGTCTGCTGATTTCTGTCTCCTCTGCTGAGGCGGGCTCAGGGAGCTGAGTGGGGTTCAGCCCATCCCCATGACTCAGTTCTAGGTTCCCTTCTCAAACACCAAGCCCCAGAGGAGGCGACAAGGGACACAGCTTGCCCTACAGCTGGGTGCCCAGTGAATAGCCTGAAGATGGGACAGCCAGCTAGCAGGCAGCTGTTCAGGAGGCAGGTGCCCCATCTGCACACGGAGGGGCTGGCCACAGGCTTGCCTTTGGGTCCTAGCAGTGCAGGGCAGGGCAGCTTTCTCCAGTCATCTCCAGGCCTTTGAGGTCATCGTCTGCTTTCATTCAGGGCAGGAATAACTGCTGGTGTCAGAGTGGCAGGCCATGGGGCTGGGGGTATCTTTTTATTTGTTAAAGTAATAACAGGAGAGACTGGAATGAGGTATCAGGGAAAGCTTCTGCCATGAGACCCTGGAATGAGTTCAGCAGCCTCTTGTCTAGGAACCTTTAGGAATTTTGAGTGTCGTGGAGGGGTCTGGGCCACGTGAAGTTGTGACGTAAGGGGTGGGAGATGCCTGAAGTTCTTCCAGAGCCGAGATTCTTAGAATTGAGTGTTGAACACAGGAAATCTTGGAGGGGCCATCTGCTGTGGTCGGGCACCTTACAGGAAGCCATAAAGGGGGAAGGCTCACCCCAGGGATTGTGGTTACCACCCAGTGCCTTCCCCAGTGGGCACTGCCCCTGGGCAGTCCCAAGAGCCATCCACCTGCACTCAGGGTGAGAGCCCCAAATGTAAGATGGCTGAGGATATTTGACTCCCCTCATCCCCTTCCCATGTCCAGCTGAGACTGCCAGTGGGGCTCCTGTGCCTCGGGGGACAGCAGTACCTGCACACTGGTGTCCCTAGCATAGGTGTGGTGCTGTCCCTCTAGCTCGGGTTGAACCTGGGCCAAAGAGGAATTGGAGGGTCAGAGGGAATTTTGCTGAGACTTAAAGAGTTCTGCAGAAACAGGCATTTGGTGGGGCGGGGGCGCCCCGTGGACTTGTATATATGCCATAGGCTTTGGAAGGCAGGGCAAAAAGGACAGCTGAAGAGAAACAAAAGGGGTCTGATGGCTTTGCCCAGAGCCCCAGGCAGCCTCAGGGGCGTAAGGCATTTTGGGCCTTAGATGGGCTGCACCTTATGCCAGCTTACCACCCATGTTGGGACCTTCGTAGCTTAGAGCTCAGGAACTGGCAATGCTAGGCCTTCGCTGGATCACTGACTTGAAGGATTCTGTTCAAACGGAGCCACCCCACTGGACCCGATTTTGCTCTTGTAGTTCTTGTAATGGTAGCTATTTATTGACTCTGGTAGCAGGCAGTTCTTAAATAAAGATGTTTTCTCAACCCGTTGAGGCGGCTGCCAGCAGCTGTTTTCTCACCTGGCTCAAGGGCACCTCCTTGAGCTGCTCTGTAACCCTCTATGTGGTGCTTTCCCCCTTCACACAGCCACCTCCATGGGAGTTACAACACACAGTCCACGCTGCAAGACTCGCCAGGCCAGCAGACCCAGGCAGGTCACGGAGCACCATGCACTCTGCTAGGCGGGGTGGTTCTACCCACCACATGGCAGCACACAATCTGTCACGGAACTGCTGCAGGTTCCCTGATTTTTAAGACATTTGAGGTGTTGACACAGTGGTCCAAGAAGGCCTTCTCCCCACAGAGATTAGTGACCCCCAGCTGGTGAGAACGTCTCCTGCCTCTGCTGCCAAAGTGCTGGAATTATTGCTCAGTTTCTAGTCTCACATGCTCACCACCACTCACTGAGCTTCTCCGACAGATGAGACGTGTGCAGGGATACACCTCGGCAGCCCCCGGTTTGATGTTTTCAGTGCACAGTGGATGGAGCTCCATGCTGGGTCCCCTGGGATTCCTGAGGAAGAGGGAAATGAAGGCGAGTGGAGGCCTCCACTCAGCGCTCAGCCTCCTGCCCAGGACCCGTTCAGCCTGAGAAGGGGCCCAGACAGACACCAGGGCGATGCCACAACGGGGTCATCCCTTCCACTAGGCACCCAAAGTGGGCGCTGGGAGCACCGGCCATTCTGGAGCCCAAATTTCAGTCCAGTCAGCCTTTCAGAGCCAGATTACATGCGCAGAACTCCATGTACTGAACAGGGTCTTGTTTCTTTACTAACATATCTGGAGGCCTTTTGTTCTCTTCCCTGCTCAGCCCCTTCCCATCCCGAGTCAAAGTTCAAGAACAGAGGTTAAGCAAACAGTGCAATAGCGCATCCGGCACCCAATGGCTGGCTTGCAACAGAATGGTGGAAGTTATTTACCTCTTATTAGGTCTTAGCCTCTCCATCTGCAAAATGGGAAGTAAAAGCCCTCAGCAGTGTAATACTGAGTTCCTCACATCAGAAATATGATATAGTTTCGTGGGCATCTTCAGCAAACTTTCCAGTGCTGAAGTGAGGGTGTCATTAACAACATTCCCCATCTCAGGAATGTCAGTTTACAAAACAGCTTTCCTCCCAGGGTCTCGCTGGCCCTCATCGTTTCAACAATGAGGCCTTCAGAACAAAGACTTCTGAAACCTATGCCTCTGAGGTGGCCAGAGTTGGAGGCAAGTGTGTAAAATTTAAGATCTTTTCAAAATAGCAGTCATATTAAAGATGACTCTCTATGCTGGGCCTAAGCTTTTAGGTCTCAACCGTAGCTATGTATCACAGCCACCTCTAAAACTCTTAAAACACAAAGATGCTCTGAACTCATGATCTCTGAATATGTAGCAAATCGTCAATAGTCCACTGTGCGCCTTCTGATGGGATGCAGCATGGATCTAGGTAGGGCTGTTGTCAGAGATGCTTACGATCATTTCTCAGGAATCTAACTGTGAGGAAATGACAGAGCTAGACCTTAGGACACCATTCAAGACAACCAGACTAATTAACAAAGCAAAGTTGTGAGAAGTAAACATAATGCGAACAATCTGCTGAAGAGTTAAGGGAAAAAATTAAAGGCAATACATTAACGCTTTTTTCATCTTTGATCAAAAATTAAATTAAAAAAAATTAAATAAAGCTGGACAGGGTGGTGCACACAGCAATCACAGTGCTCAGGGAGGCTGAGGCCAGAGGGTCCCAAGCTTGAACCCAGCTATTTAGCTATTTAGCCTGTCAATCAATGAAAATCAAAGGGGCTGGGAATTGAGCTCAGTGTGAAGGCTCCGTAGTACTGCCGATATATAAATAAGCTTTATAAATTGGAAAGCTGGAAAAACTGGATATAAGCCCTATATAAGATTACGAACTGCTCATCTTCTTAGGTGTGATATATTGTTACATAGGAGAACATTCTTATTAGGTCATGCATATGTGATGGGAGGCTGAAGCAGGATTGCAAGTTCAAGTCCAGCCTAGGAGACTTAGCAAGATCCTGTGAAAGAAAGAAAGAGAGAGAGAGGGAGAGAGAGAGAGAGAGAGAGAGAGAGAGAGAGAGAGAGAGAGAGAGAGAGAGAGAGAGAGAAAGGAAGGATCACAATGTGATCAGCTTTCAAATGGTGCAGCAAAATCAATATATATATTTAGAAAGATAACTGAAAAAAATACAAAGGATTCTTACCAATGGGTCTATGGGTGGTCACCAGACCTTTCAACTTTTTGCTGGGTTTGAAATTTTTTAGTTAAACAGAATCCCTTTGACCACAGTGTAAACTGAATTAGCATCTTCAGGGTTGCGGCTCAGGAATCTGTTCCCCAACAAGTCATCCAAGTTATAGGCTGGACACAAGAACCACTGGTCTTTGGTTTCTGCTGTTCCTCCTGAGCCAGGGAAAGGTGAGGGGAAGAAATGCTGTCGCTCTCAGCAGAATTAGCTCAGCTGGCGGCCAAGAGTTGATCCCCCCTGGCTCCATCAGCCAATTATCTCAGTCACAGTCTGAATGGCCGCCAAGGGTCGTAGGACTGGATTTCCAGTGGAGGAATGAAGGGGCCAGTCCTCCTTGGGGGTCTTGGCTGCTGTAAGAAACCAAACTTTGGGGCACTGAAAGGGCAAACATGAAAGGAGCAGGGAGCAAGGCAGTGGACTGTTTCGTGATTAGGCGAAGGATCTTGTGTTTTGCCAGGAAACTCAACTTGGGAGGGCAGACAATTCATGAACATTCAGTGACTGGCTATGACATACTGACAGGTGACATTATAACAGCCTCTGTGCCACATATGGGCACACGTGCTGCACAAAGCAGACAATCTGCCCAATGTCTAGTCTAAGAAACCCAAGGAAAACAAAAGCCAGACTGGTTACGGGACAACATAAACAAATATGAGAAATTTTAAGATAAAGAGCACGAAAGGAAAAGGTTAGGTTTCCATACAGCTATTGTGAATTATTTTTATTGAAGAGGGAAAAATAAGTTTTCACTAGAAAACCTATTATTATATCCTTCTACATGAATACACTGCTCAGAAGAGGAAAACGGACTGGGAGGCACACAAGTTAATGGGGTAGATGACTGCAAGCTTGGAAAACAGCTATATTCCCAGGAGCCAGGGTGACACCTGAGCACCCAGCAGCAGGGAGATCAGGGAGAGATCCATCTGGGACACAGAAGCTGGAGACTCTTGCCAGGGCCACCATGAGGGTCCACCTCCCCATTCCTCCTGGAGTCGTTTGGCCAATCCACTATCAGGCAGCCAACACACTCCCTATAAAGCTAGCCTGGCGTCTTGGGCAGCCAGTCCCTCAGGAGCAAGGCTTGTAAGCTCTTGAGGCTGTCACCAGTGTAGGTCTCCCTCAGCACCTTGCAAAGGACGATGCTCACCAGCACACCACCGATCACTCCACCTGCAATTCCTACCCCCAAGGCTGATGCCACCTTCTTTTGCCACTTGGGGCGGGGAGGCTTGGAATAGTTGTCCAGATTAACTTCCAAGCCCTCATCTGCTAACTTCTGCTCCTCAGTAAGGGACTGATGGAAACTCAGGTTCACCAGCTTTGGAGGAAGTACCCTCAGCCCAAAGTAGAGCCTTTTGACCAGCCTCAAGTTTCTGAGCAGCTGCACGTCACAGCGGTATGTCCCAGAGTCATACTCCTGGGCCGGTCTGAACCTCACCAAGTGGGAGCTGGCTCGGAAGGGTCGGAAAACTTCATCATTTGTTGAGATGATACCTCGAGCCAGTCTCCAGGTAAAGTGGAATGCTTCCTTCCCGATCTCCAGAATGTCTGAACTGAGACAGCTGAGTTCAAACTCTTCTCCGACGAGAACAGTGAAATGCAGCATTCCACAGATCCAATTGGTCAGGCACTCCAAGCGCTGGGACTTACACTTCCTCCTCACCCCATCGGGCCCCACCTCGCAGACAGTCTCCTCCTTAAAGCCAAGGCCACAGGTGACAGTACAGGTTGTGGCATTGACAATAACTTTCCCCACAGCTTCTTGCAGCTTCTTTGGGATGGCCAGTGTTTTAGGTGAAGTCACCGTCAGGGGCAGGTAGGCAGCCAACACCAGGCTCCCGAGGATGAAACTCTCGGCCAAAGTCTTCATGCCTGGTGGCCACTGACCACCTTGGCCAGCACCCTCCAGGTATTCCAGGTGAATCCTCCAGCGTCACAGCTCTCCTCCTCCAACATCAAGAGATGCGGGCATCGTTAATAAAACAAGGCTACCAGTACACTAAAGTCCAGTCATTATTCACAGATAAGCCCTCAAGGCGGAAAAACAAATAGCAAAAAGAATCAATTGTTGCTCTACTATCTACATTTTCATAGCCTCTTAATAAATTTCAATCTACCTCTCGAGAAGACAAAGATGAAAAGACTTCCGAAGTGGAAGTGAATTTCCAAATTAGCCCAAAAGCTTGGTGAAATTATACTCTTCTTCACCCTTTCCCCTTCCCTCCAAATTCTGGGGTCTAAATGAAGGGTTTCAAACTCCCAAGTCAAATCTGACCAAATAAGAAAACCAACACTATAGTCTAAAAAAAACCCCAGAGTGTTACTTGAATTAAGTTCAAGAACATACCTTATTTATTTACTGGTAATGTTCCTAAGCCTTCTATAAAAATAATTCTACACTGGAAGGCAAATAACTTCCTGAATTTCTATTTCCTCCTTTGTAAATGAAGATCTCCTTGCATTTTTTCAGGACAGTCACCTTGAGCATCAAATGATACAGTGCACATGAAAACACTCTGTAAAGTGTCAAACACTGCATGTACGGCATTTTTTAAAAAATGAAAATTCTCAAAGACAAGGGCCAAGGCACCCTTCAGATCAGCAAGAGAGGCTACATCACAGCCAGCTCCTCTCCCTGCTGCTGATGCTCCTCTTTCCCAGGGGGACCGAAGACATCTGCTGGGTGGGAGGAAATGTAACACGGCCTGACCCTCGGCCTGCACCCACTACCCTGCAGAACAGAGCAGCCTGTCTGCTTAGGTGGATGAGGTTGCTAGGAAACAGCTATGATGTCAAAGATGGGTTCTCAGCTACATGACAAAAGATTAGTAAGCAGGGCCAGGGATTTAGCTCAGTGGTGCCGGCGCCTGCCTCGCAAGTGCAAGGTCCCAAGTTCGATCCCCGGTACCAAAAGAAAAAAAAAAAAAAGATTAGTAAGCACTCATTTTTGGCATCAGTTAAAATCAAGCCAATAAACTTTATGAAACACCTTCTTTAGGTGACAACGAGTATTCAATGGGCTTTAAAGCTAACTTAATCTAGAAAAAAAAAAAAAGATTAGTTTTTACTGTTTTTAGACTAAGAAAGATCTTCCTGACAGGCATTTTTATAACCTCTGGAATGCTCAGCACTGTGGTCTCTTTAATTATGCAAATTTATACTGAAGAATCTGAAGAGACAGCATTCCTAGATGATCTTTTGATTAACAGCAACTTTTGATTCAAATCATTTACTCAAAATCCTGTCCAGAGGCAGAAATCTAGACATCCTGACCACCCCTCCCCCTTCCAGCTCTGCATTCCCACAAAGATCTAATGTCAATCCAGTATGCTGTATTTTCCGTGGCTGTCGAGTTCCAGAAGTGATCAGTGTTTATAAACAAACATCTACACCTGCTCTTTTAATAAACATCCGATTTTATTTACAAAGCATTAAAGCTTCAGCAAGAAATACCCAAGGCTAAGTTTCATCTTGTACAAAACTACAGAACATTCAAAAAAGCAAAATGGCAGCTTGGGAAATGAGAAAGGTGAAAAAGAGAATATACATATATTACACAAACTAAGAAATGAAGTGGATAGAAGGTTTTAGGAGCAGAAAAAACATTCCCAGAGCATAAATAATTACTAGGAGCTGCTGCCAGAGACAATCTGACAGGGCTTACACTGATTTTCTCAGCAGCCAGTTGAGGAGCTGCATATAGCATAAATACCCAAATGCACAGTGGAAAAAACCAGCTACTTTTATGCCAGTCAGTCAGAAACCCTGTGCATCACAGCTGCACAGGACTGCAGTGTGCAGTACCGAGAACTAGAATGGAAATAATCCCTGCAAAACAGAAACACACTTAGGGAGCCATCTACCAATCTCAGCCACTGGTCTAACTCACATGAAATTCACAAAATGACTGCTTAAGGAAGCAGCAATGGCAACTAAAAATGGATAAAGTTATGCAACTGACTCTGGGAGAGCTCTTTCTCCGACTTCTGAGTGTGTGTGTTCTGAAAGATGGGCTGGGACAGAGAGGCTCTTATTGCTGTGTTCTACTTTGATTTGTAGCCCACCATCTAAAAAGCAATCAACATGTTTGGCTGCCTAAAGGAGCATCCACCAATCGAGAGATTTCACCATAAGCACAGTATGGAAACTCTCCTTTGAAAATACTGAGAAAATGATGATCCAAGATAAGCACTTCTGAGCAGCTAAAAACTACTCAGAGAGGCTACTAAGCTCTTTTCACAGCTGGTTTCCTGACTCTGGATTTTCAGAAAATTTCAAACACCTCATGTACACATCCATCCAATCTACTACTTTTTTTAAAGAACAGCGAAACCAAAAAAAAAAAAGATAAAAGCTAAGCAACCTTTCACAGAAAGGAAGTGACTGAAAATACAGTAAGAGAAAGGAACGTGGACACAGGAAAGAAAGCTATAATGACTGACAGGGACAGGTTTCCACAGGCAATGATAAAAATTTTACCTTGATCTTTGAACTATGCTGTTCCTGCTTTGACTGTGGGGGTACTTTAGTCCTTGTACAGGTTCCCCCAGCCCAATAAAAAAGAAACTTATTGAGAAACATCTTGGTTTGTTTCCGACTCTAGAAGTCAGCATAGGTAAAGTAATAAAAACTGCTGATGATTCTTTGCTGGAGTTGGATAAAACTAGTCATCTTCAAAAACCATGATTAACGAGACTGAATCAATACTGGAAGAAAATATGCAATGCAAGGAAAAACTCTGAATCTCTTACAGTCCAGCTTGTTGAGCAAAATGTAGTATGACAAAGAGGAAACCTTCTTTCCTTCTTTTTCTGCAAATTTAAAATCTTTCAAGCCCTTTTTTCTGCCCACTGTTGAATATAATATGGAAACACAGGAGCTATCTGGGAGAGGGTAAGTTTAAAAATCAAAGAAAGAGAATATGCAACAGAAGTTTTCCTAGGACACTGGCAGCAAAATCTGAGATAAGAACAAGTCATTTGAAGACATGCATCGAGGAGAGAAGGCAAACAGGAGATAGGAAATCACGTGTCAAAATGATGCTGGATGCAAGAGTTAGATGAGCAAAACACAGGTATCTTTTCTCCAGCAACACAACCAAGTGTTTAATTATAAATGAGTCAAATCTCCTATTTGATGTCTTTATAAATCCTCATTCCTGAGAGCCTATTTGGACTTATGCTTGAAAGGGAAAATCAGGGATATATTCTTTTCTTCCATAATTCACTTCTTCATTCAAACATAAAATTCACTTGTTCCACCTCCTGGGTGGGAGGCAGAGGCCTTTGTTTTAAATTAAAGTCAATCTCAAATGACTGACCACATTGTCCAGAAGCCACTCGATGGCATAGTGGGTGATAACAAAGAGCTTCAAGGCCTTCATAACAGTTCTGAGATTGCTCCTCCTGCTAAGAGATCAGACAAAAAAAGATTTATTTTAGTATCACCTTTGGACCAGTTACTTCTAAGAACAGAAATACAGATGGATCTGGATGATACATTACAAACATACATGGCCAAAAATTTCCTTCTTTTAAGGAAAAGATCTAACCAACTCTAATCCCAAATCCCCACCTCAATACTTTTCTCAGATCTGCCCCAAACGGGGGGAGGGGTTGCAGAATGGTGACAGTTCTACACATTTGCTAAGCCACTAACCACTCTCTAAGGTGTTAACAAATGATGCTTAACAATCTAAAAAGAACAACAAATGGAAGGAAATTCTAGGGTGCTAAACCTTTCATCTATTAGACTCATCCTAAATGATTAACTGAGCAAGAAACTCCTTCTGAGTACTACTGTCCCTTAAGTGACATCCTTACCACTCTAGAATCTCGAAGGTGAAATGTTAATGAAGGTCACGCCCACCTTTCTATATACCAACAAATGATCCATAAATAAAACCCTGAATAGTAGAATCAAATGACCACTTCCCTGGTTATTCCATAGAAGCTGTTCAACCTCTGAGGGACATCCTTAAGTGAGCTGCTGTGGAATATTAACTAGGAAGTGTAAAAAGAGAACAAGGTGAAGACAATCCTGCTAGATGTCACTTGGAATGGGGAATAACATGCTGCTTGGACATAAAATGGTGAAAAATAATGGCTCAATTATGAAAGAAAACTATCTACTTATAAAACTGATTTGAACCTGATTTTCAAAGTTTCACTACAAATAAAAACAGGCAGTAAAAATATATTTACATTTCCTGAGAAACATCTGAAATTTGGGCAAGATACAAACTCTGCCAAACATGACACTGGTAAGTATCAAATTTGAACTCTTTATAGTTCAGTAAGGTAAAAAAAAATAATAATAATTTGACACCTGTTTTTCAGATTACATCCAACATCAAACATAATAATAAATTTCTTGAGTTGATTTTTTAAAAAGAAACTTCAGGTAAAAGAACACACTCTAATCTTTACCTCTTTAAGGCTGGTCTCACTGATTGTTCCCATAGGTATCCTGACCAATTTAGTTTTAACAGTTAAAAAATGAACACAACATTGCAATTTTGAGCCTTAATCATGACAGGAAAAAGTAGTTTAGTTATCTGTTTTTAGAGACTGGCTCTATCACATAGTCCAAACTCACCATCCTCCTGCCTCAGTCTCCTGAGTGCTGGGACTACAGGTGGGTGTCACCACACCCAGCTCAGGAGAAAGCGGTGTGACCATAAACCAACAGCCTCAATAACCAGCACTCAAGGTGACTAATGAGTATCTTATTATCTGAGCAGCTCACTCTCATTCTTGTGAATGGACACACATGTACGTACAGAGACACACAAACACACACTGTGTACTGAGGCATTACCCAACACACTACCACCACAGCAAGCACTGCTATGAGTGAGTAATATTCACAGGAACACCAACACAGAAGGCCTGCAACTGCCCCAAGGAAACACGTTATTTAGCTGCAACATAAAGGAAATTTCCAGTAGCACAGGAGGAAATTCACTTTACGATGGTGCCTCCCAACAGCAGCTCATCCAGGTTGGCCCTTAGGCCCTAAGGAAACACTGGATCATGACTTCCACACTGACCTTGGTCAGCCAGTACAGTCACACTGGTAGGAAAGAACACTCAACTGTCTCATTTCAGCAGGAACTCATAGTCTTCAAGAGCTGCTGAAGGAAGGGAGGGAGGGAGGGAGGGAGGATGGATGGATGGATTTAAAATAACCATGGGTCCAGCAGATGCCCTCCCTGTAGGTGGTTCAAAGCCCCAGGGCAGTGGGCCAGCACCAGGTAGTGGTGCAGAAGCACAAGGCAGGCAAATCTGCACAGTGCCTCTTTGTTGCCAGAAGTGTCACCTCTGCTCACTTCAGCCTCTGGCACTCCCAGGCCCAGGATCACACCGACCCCTTCATGCTCACCAATGAGGCCTCCAGATTAAGTATATGACAAGCCACACCTTTGGGGCTGAGGAGCTGTTTGATAGCAAAGACCTTCCCTTAGCTCCAGATTCCAGATTACTTATATGGTGGTCTATTTGTCTTCTAATTTTCTCTTGGAATGTATAATTTCTAGTCACAACACAAAAGAGACTAGGCAGCTTTGTTAAGGCTAACTACAGCTTATGAAATGGGTTTTGCTGTAACTGGCCAGTTGCAGACATTAACACACAGTTGTCATTCACCGAGCTTCAGTAATAACACAGCCTACACCTATAATCCTGCCTTCAAACAATTAGACCTCAATGCCAAAGCTGTCCAGTTTAAAGGGAGGTTCACAAAACCTTGAATCTACAATGTAATCCTCAGACTGAATTAATTACTGAAGGTGCTTTAGCCCTAGGCATTCTGAATCAGGTTTCATTTTGTAATATTTGGTGGAAAAACTACAATAACTGCATCCTGCCTTTGACTGAAAATCTCCAAGGCGCTGAAGAACAAGAGATCCACATGCCAGAAGGTCTCTCGGTGGCCTTGGAGGGCCGTGTGCTAACCAGCAGCAGGTGCTGGTCAGCCTTTGCCTCCTGGGGGCCCTCCAACACAGCCACAGCGCTGGACGGAGCCCTCCTCGCCTGGGGAATTCCACACAAAAGGTATGCTTGCTTGTCCCAAACCAAGGATTTGGCCAGTGTCACCACTCTCCCCCAAACGTGCATCTTCACGAAGTTCCAAACCACACTGGCTGGTCAGTAAAGCCACATGCAGCCCTTCTGAGGGCCTAGGAACCAGGCCTCAGGCCCCTGCTGAGGATGTTTTTGTTTTAAACGATCCCATTCCTCGGTGCTCTGAGATGCAATATGGCCATCTCTGTTCTGGAGAGTTCTATTCAGGAAAAGGTCAGGAGAAGGAAGGAAAAAAATAAGAAAAAGGAAGGACAGACAGATTGGTTATACAGGAAGTACAGCCATGAGGAGCGGGGCAATGCCTGCAGTGCCCCATGCAGCTGCTCTGCCTCTGTGTTACCAATGTCGCATCACTCTGGCCAGTCACGGGAAAGGCTCCTCTCGTCCTTGTACCCACATGGCTGTTCAAATGGTTGTTTCCACACAAGGCTGACCCACTTCAGCCCTAACAAAAATACTCAGAAAGCAGGAGTCCAGTATGAAGCACCCTGCTATTCCAAGACACGAGCTCTGCGCTTTGTTGAGGTCAGGACATCATTTAACCTTGTCAACAAAGTGAGTGTGGAGAATCTCCTAACAGGGGACCGACAGTGGTGTCTACTCTTATTAGAAGGGGCTTTTAAAATGCTAACTTGTAGCACAAACAAATATGCATCCCACATACCGTTCAAACTTTTACTGCAAGCCTTCCTCTGTCACCAAGATATAATAATACCCACATACGTACTCATAGTAGAGAATTTTAGAGAATACAAAGGCCCATTCCTTTGGGGCTGAGTAAGCTTTCCAACATTTTTATTTTGACTCTCATCTGGGTTATTGTTAATGACCATCTCAATTATAATTTAAAGCTGAAGTCATTGTATCATTGAGGAAAATATGAGTTTAAAAATTTAAAATTTTTATCACACAGTTTTTATTGCAAAGCACAAGATTAATTATAGACAAGTTGGTTTTTGGGGGGTTTTTTGGTACCAGGGAATGAACTCGGGTCCTTGCACTTGCAAGGCAGGCAGCAGAACCACTGAGCTAAGTCCCCAGCCCTTATTATAGACAGGTTGTAAAGATGCTGAGAGACTGTATGTCCTAAAGCGTTTTAATTAATTAAATACATTTGGCCACATTTTAAATCACCCTAAAAGCATCTGAGCTCTTTGGGCCAGGAAAATCTATATGAATTTTAAATTGTGTTTCTTCTGTATGTCATCAGCCTGCATACAAAGCGCGTCATGGCAGGATCACCTCTATTTAAGTCCAGTCAATTATCGATCTGCAGCCTTTGTCGGGAAGACCCATGTAACTGCCCTGGACTGTTTCACAACACAGACACAGCCTTCGGAGGACTGAATGTGAGGGTGGTGACTGATTATCAGAATTTATGGCAGCATAAATAATTGGGAAAAAATATGGAGCTCAGTGTATGATGCTGGGGCATGAAAAACTGCAGTCTAAATGTAGCCAACTTATGGTAGAATATTCAAAAGAAGGACAAGCTGAGTCTGTTTCGAGCTTCTCTGTAAAAGAAAATTCTTATTCGTAGGTAATGACTGATGACAAGGTAAAAATTAAACAAGGGATTCTGTTTTACGTTCTACTGTTTATAATATTTGGATGAACACATTTAGATTAAAATTTTAAAGCAGGAGAGAAAAAACTTGAATATAGCCGCTGACATTTCATGAATCCTGCCTGCAGTCTCCTCAGCAGCAAAATATTGAGGATATTTTATTAATTAAAGCAGCATTTATATATGAAACAAAAAATTTCCAAATCCCAACAATGTTTCAATAGAAATGGAAGTATGTTTCAAACAAAAGACCATTTCGCCTAGGTTCACAAGTACTGGATCGGAAACTGAATTGCGTCTCTATCTCCCAATAAAAATTCTTCCATGATATAAAAGTGAGAAAATCCATGTGCTTGCTTTGGCAGCACCTAACTAAAAGTGAGAAAATCCAAATATTAAGTTTTTAAAAATCAAGTTGTTAAGAAGCTATATAGGGCCAGGGATTTAGCTCAGTGGTTCCTCCGCCTGCCTCACAAGTGCAAGGTCCTGAGTTCAATCCCTGGTACCAAAAAAGAAAAAAAAGAAGCTACATAGAATAGTTTCTGGTTTTTTTGGTAATTACTTCCAGATACTGGGAGGAAAAACCCCAAAGTCTCATTTTCTTCCTTAACATGTTGGTACTACTAACAATTTCATTGTTTCTATACTACCAGGAGAGAGAAAACTATCTCATGGGACTTGAACAATATGGAAAGAGAGAAAAGATCCTACAGTTCAATAGTCAGGGGCTATATAAAATAAGCCAATGTTTCTGCCTATGGCACGTAAATTTGAAGCAAAAGCCACCATCAACAACAACAAAACCTGCACCAACAAAAAACCTAGAGCAAATACAGATGAAGAAATGAATTAAACCAGGGATTCTGACATTTTTAGGTCATGGATTTCTCAATAGGAATCTGATGAAAGCTACAGGCATCTTCCTCAGAAAAATATTCACATATTTTGCAAATGATATCAGGGCAGTGTAGGCCCCCTGGAATCTATTTATGGACCCAAGGTTAAGAGTCACTGAATTGAGCCAAGTGTGGTTTAGCCTGCCCTTAGCAGCTTAAAATGCAAAGATGATCTGCTGCTGGGGAAAAGGAGGGAAGGAAAAAAATGCTGCAGCTAAAGGAGGTCAGGGCTGTACAAAGCAAGGCCACAAAGCAAGCCAGACAGTGCTCCCAATGTGTCCTTACCTGTCAAGGGCTGGCTGAGCTCCGCCTGCACTTTACCCTTCGTTGGTCCTTCCAGAGGTAAACCTCTATCCCCTTTGTAGAGTTTCGGTTTAAATGGAGAATCTTTCTCTTTACCTTTTGATCCTTTAGGCCGGCCTGCTTGCTTCTTCTTGGATTTGCCATCCCCCTTCACACCCAGTAGTGGATGGACTTCTGCAGAAGAACAGAGAGACATCGGGGGGAGGGGGGGCTCACATACCACCAGTCCCAGCACCCCACCAGAGCTCTGAGCAAAGAACACTGCTTTTGTGTCCCAGGTCCACTGATACAAGCAGAGAAATCTGCCTGTGTATTATTTTTAAAACAACAAGAGAGGCCGTTCAACAATCGCTGATTGACAAAAAGGCACAAACAGCCTCTGTGGTCCATACCAAGCCACAACAATTCTAAACTGAGGGCTGGGGATTTAGATCAGTGGTTCCTCCGCCTGCCTCGCACGTGCAAGGTCCCAAGTTTGATCCCTGGTACCAAAAAAACCCACAAAACACTCTAAACTGAAAAAGTAGCAAAAGATACTGTATCAAACCAAGATAGAAAAGGTGTGCGTGTGTGCACCCAGGCATATGCATGCAAACACACACACACACACACACACACACACACACACACGCGCGCACAGAGGCACAAGGGAGCAGAAACAGAATAGGCTTTGGAACTCAGGGAAAAGAATCCTGACTCTACCACTTTCTGTGAGATTTTGGGCAATTATGTAACTTCTAAACACATAACCTGGACCTAAAGTTTCTCCTCTGTAAAGCAGGGATAATAAAACAACTCGCAGGGCTTATGCAGAAGTCAGTAATGGTAAATTAACCACTCAACAGTGTTTGGGCCAGAGCAGACAGGCAATCAATATCATCAGGGAAATGTGCAGCTGCACCATTAACAGGTCTGAAGTTAGCTAAAAGAAAAAAAAGATTCCTGGTAATAAACACATCCCTATCTATCGCAACACATAAAAGCCTTCTGAGTCAGACTGTAAAAGCAGACAGGAAGAAGGAAACGACTGTCCAGATCTGATTAGTACTTTACCACCTAATAAAATCCCCTATGGGAAAAAAATGAGCTATGTGTCAGAACACAAAGTGTGTTATCTAGGTAAGTTACTGAAGAGCAGAATTTCCCCAGTTTAAAAGAGAAGTGAACACAGATGCAATTATCACAAAGCTGTCAAGCACTATTAGAAAGATTCATGGGGAAATTCCTTTGGAGTAAAAATCACTCAAATAGGAAATTATCGTGCTGGACAAATTGTGCCTGCCAGTCAGCAGGGAGAAGATGTAGCTCTTACCATCATTTGGTACTCCTTGGAGCTCTATATTGGTTGTTTTGGGTTTCTTCTTGGGTGGCTGGGACCCATCTGCCGAGGACTGCCTCTTCTTCTCTGAACTAGCGCCTTCGTCCATCAAGGAGGTTTGGACCGCATCTGGTGGGGGGCCATAAGGATTTTCTTCTGGGTCTTCTACCTCAGGGGCAATGGGTAAATACAACAGAGCCTTTGAATCTTCCAGCTCTTCATCACTATTTGGAAGAGGATCAGACAAGGGATTGGAAAAAAGAGGAGACAGTTGCTTAAACCATGAGCCCTTCCTCCAGCACCTCTATTAAGCATACATACCAGGCATAGACCTAGAACTTTAAGAAAGCCAAGATGAATAAAAGGAAATCAGAAATCAATAATCATAAACCAAATAAACAAATTATTTCCATTTCTTAAATTCTGTATCGAGGAGAAGGGAAGGGAAAGTAGGACTAGAGAAGAAAGACTAAATTGTTTCTTTTATACACCAAAGGTGCTCGCTTTTTCAGCTAATAAGCAGATGGGACTGAAGGGACAGTCAGGGCACTGAGTAGCACACACCAGAGACAGAGGAGATCCATCCCAGCCTCCAGCCCTCCAGGCTGCTCACCTGCTACAGAAGGCAGCAATGGGGTCCACACTGGTGACATCCACTTCCTCATCTTCAGCAGCATCCGCCCCTGTAGGACAGAAACAGAACAGGTTTGAGACCAAGTGAAAACTGCCTTTTTAAATGTACCTTAAGGGTTTTCACAAACTGAAATTCAAGAAATATGAAGGAAGAAAACAGTTCATTTAACAAATAAGAGCTGACTTTCAATGATATTCTAGGGGAAGAGTGATGATCACAGAAGCTGAAAATGGCTTTTCAATCAGTAAAAGTTCCACAGTCTAACTGGGTAAACAGACACAAATGGATAATTTCAGTTTAATCCAATAAATGCCACAATCAAGGTATGTGCAATCCTTGTGGGAGACAGGAAGGAGGAATAATTTATGTGAAAGTCTGGGAAGGCTCAGAACATGACCCCAGAATACCAAAACAATCCAGAACATTTTGCATCCCCAGAGATGTTCCTGAAATATGCGAGGCATGTACGTTATCTAGTGCTCAAAAGTAAGGAACAGCACTTTCAAGTTGGAGAGAATTAACCTTAATCCTGATTCCCTGATCCCTGGCACCATGAAATGGCCCAGTAATGGAAGATCTGTGGCGTTAATTACAGTGCCAACTGGGCATACTAAAGCATTCACACACACGAATCCCTACTGCATGTAAAGCTCCATGTTAGACACCATGAAGATAACAAATCAAATCTTCATTTTTAAGGAGGTCTTATCTATAAGTTCAGAAGACAAAAATAACAATGACCATAGACATAATCATAACAGAAAATAATGTTTGGGTGCCTATTATGGCCTAGAAAAAAGTGCTTTACATGAATTATTTTGTGTAATCCACCAACCCCAAAAGACAGGTGCTATTATTACCTCTGTCCAATGCAGAGTTACACATTAAGTATTTTGCCCAAAACTGACTCTGGAGCCTGTGCTCTTGGCCTTTCTCTTACTGACAAGGGGGTGACAGGACACAGGACATAGTGCACTCCATCCATCTAGGTGCTTTGCTAGGTGTTACCTATAAATACCCATTTAGTTATCTGCAATTGATCAGCAAATACAAGTGAAGTGCCAAGAGAGCTGCTCGAGCCCTGGCAGTGCCTATATAAGCCCTCAATTAATGTTTTATAAATTGAGACTCCCCAAGCAAATTATGTATACTTACAGACAAACGGGGCATCTTGGACTCTGAAATACATTTACAACACAAATTTAAAATATTAAGTAAAGCAATCATTTTTCCTTTCAGAAATACCATCTGCAATTAAGAAATATTACCTGTCTGCTCGGGCTCACTCTTATCTTCATCTTCAATATCAAACTCTGATTCCCTTTCCTCATATTCTACATTTTCATCCAACTCTTTGAAATCTGGTGCGAATGCACTCCAATTTTCCTATACCACAAACAAAATACACTACTTAACTACACAACAAAGCAATAATCTAAATTTAGACACTAATGATGTAAGTGAAAGAGTTGAGAACTCTGAGATTAAATGTGGAGGTAAAAATTAGTTACCTATAGGTTTTACCATCTTAAGGTATCTCCTATCTAAACAATGCAAGTTATAACTGTAGCCCTCTAATAAATAACTGTTTGCTTTAATCTTTTAAGATGTAATTCTTTAAAAAAAAAGGAATTCTAAGATAAAATGTTAAATTTTCTTTTTTTTGTCAATCAACTGTATTTCCAAACAGAAATCCCTATATAAACAGAGCCAATCTACATTAAATTGTGTGACTGTGTTAGCCTGATTACAAATATAGTTTAAAAGTGTTGAAACTAAAATCAAACATAAAAGTCTGGGGATTTAGCTCAGTGGTTCTGCTGCTTGGGCGTAAGGTCTGGAGTTCGATCCCCGGTATCAAAAAAAAAAAAAAATTCCAACATAAAACAGAAACTGAGCTAAAAAGAAGAAAAGCAAAAGAAAAATATAGCTCAAGTAATAGAAAAATGTAACAGAAACTACCTTAGACTTTCTCCATGAAAACAGAGCTAGTAAACCACTTAGGCCCAAGATCTTCCCATCAAAATAAAGTAACACTAGACATGCTGAACCTATTTATTTGGGCTACAAGATTCACATGCAAAAGAAAGTAATTAAGGTAGTTTTTAGCTTACTAAGCTTAAGGTCCTTTGACAAAAAGGAATATTTGGTTTCAAAGCAAGTCAAGGAGAAAATACTTACTACTTGGTTTTGTGCCCAGATGGATACTACTCCACTGGAGATGGATGCTATGATGGGCCGGACAGGATGCCACTAAGTTTGAAGGAAGGAAAGGAAACTCGGGTAAGTCACAACACATTCGAGATGGTCTGGACTGTGCGAGTAATGGTAGCGATGCCTGCTCGACTCACTGCTACATCCAGGAGGAGCTCTCCTCTCGTTCCATGGAGAATCTTCACCAGGTTGCCAATGCTCTTCTCCCAGATGTACAGTGCGTGCTGCCGGGCGGAGCCTGCCACGATGTACTCCCCATCCCCAGAGAAGCAACATTTCTTCCACGGGGTCCTAAAGGACAAAAGAGTCCCCAAGGAGAATGGAACCTGAGCCCGGTGAGGAGCCATCCCACGGCCCTGCTGGGCTGCGAGACACACCTATTCACCAGGTCCTGCAGTTTCTGCATGGGTTCAGGCTCTCCATCTCTGCCACAGGTTAAGATTTCTCTGCCATCATAAACTCGGATTATTCGATCTGCTGTGTTAATTAAAAAGCAACTACAGAAAGAAGAAAAATAGCAACAGAGGTCAGGAATCCATTCCTGTCAACATTTTCATTACTATAGTTCCCTAGAACAGTAATCCAAACAACTAATTAACCGGGGAGAACCCGAGTAAAGACCTAAGACTAGAGTGCTTGTATATCTTGGCACCTTCCAAAATCCAGTCAAGTGAGAATATATACATACACTCTATCCTGCCTGTGTATCTGTAAGCCCAAACTGATCAAACCATCAGTATTTAACTGAGACCCGAGACCTCTAAACTGAAGCACCTTGCTAAATGTACAGGGTTATGTGAAATGTACAAAAATACTTCATTTCACAGGCCAGCTTTATAAACAATATATCCTTCATGAGTTAATAAATATGCCATTTTTAAACGTCTGATTTTTTATTGTAATGACAGCAGAACCCTTAGAAAGACCCTAGTGACCCTTTCTTAATTCAAGAGCATTCTGAGGGGCCGAGAGTGTGTCTCAGGGAAAGAGCTTGCCAAGCATGCGTGAGGCCATCCCCAGCACCCCCACCCCACCCCACATGCGCATACACATGCATACACGCACGAGGACACACACACACTCAAGGACATTTGAACATGAATATCTTCTAGGTACATATGGGCATTCCTACACAGAACATGACTGGTATTTCTGATGGACAACCTTTTCCTTCCTGTTTCTGTTGATATATCTACTTCTAACTAAATAACCAAATTTATCAAAATAACATCTGAAATTAAAAGGAGAAACAGGATTTATGCCAATGCACATTTAATCACTGTGTCAATTTTATGACACAGTTCTGCTTATAAAAATATTTAGGCCCTGGGGATGTAACTCAGGGGTAGAGTACTTGTCTAGCATGCATGAGACCCTGGCTGGAATCTCCAGCACCACTATGAAGAAAAGTTACTTAGTCTTTACTCAGTGCTTACTATGTACCAAGCATTTTGGTTCTAAGCACTGACCACTCGAATATCTTTTCAGTAAAGAGGAAAACCTTCAAAGAAGGAAAATGTGACTACTGGTTCAACGAGGGAAATTCTGTAAACCCAAGAACCAGATACGAAGAGTTTCTAACAACTTCAATAAATTTTTAAAATATAATATATACAGGCCCGGGGATTTAGCGCAGTGGTTTCGCCACCTGCCTCGCAAGCGGAAGGACCCAAGTTCAATCCCCGGTACCAAAAAAAAAAGAAAGTAAAAAATATACTATATACAAAAACTGTAAATTTCAATTCAGTTTTACATTCTTCTTTGTCCCTAAAAAAGACAAGTTCTCACTCACCTTCCCTTCCGGGCAAACTCAATTGACTTAATGGCTGTGGTATTGCTTGTCCCAGTTGTTACTCTGAAGGAAGCAACAAGATCCTGAGAATCTGTTTTTAGGACCAAAATCTAAAGTTTACAGAAAAAAAAAAAGTAAATATTTTGATATATAACAGGAATTAGATCTGGATTCTCTATCTAAAATCAAGTAGATGGGGCCAGGGATTTAGCTCAGTGGTTTCGCTACCTGCTACACAAGAGCAAGGACCTGAGTTTGATCCCCGGTACCCACCTCCCCCACCCCCCAAAAAAGAAAAGAAACCATTTGTTTTGGGCTGAGGATTTAGCTCAGTGGTTCCGGCGCCTGCCTCGAAAGTGCAAGGTCCCGAGTTTGATCCCTGGTACCAAATAAATAAATAAATAAATAATAAAATCCAGTAGAAATTGGGTAAAAATGCAAATACTGCTAATTCCTGTTTACTCAACCTGATGAACTGATACTGCCTTTTACTTTTTCGAGTAAACTACAGTCGGTAGTCAGGCAATGGCAAACACCTATCATCCCAGCACTATGGGAGGCAGAGGCAGGAGGGTCAGAAGTTTAAGCCCAGCCTGGAAAACTTAGCAACTCAGCAAGGCCCTGTTTTAAAATAAAAACCAAACAAAAAAGAGCTGGGGATGTAGCTCCATGTGAAGTCCCTGAGCTGTAATGGCAGAACCCCGGGGTTCAAACCCAACACTGGGGGGCAGAGGAAGTGGTCTTCATAATCCATTTTTAAAATATGATATTTAACATTATTCACAATAGCCAAATAGTGGTAGCAACCCAAGTATTCATCAACAGATGAATAGTTAAAACAGTATATGGCAGACATCTACAATATGGTTGAACTTTGAAAAGGCGGGAAATTCTGACATGCTGCAACGTGAATGAACCTTGAGGTCACTGCATTAAGCAATAAAGCCAGGAGCAAAAGGAAAAATATGGTTTGAGTCCACTGACTTGAGGTACATGGAGTAGTCAAAGTCAGAGACAAAGCGAAATGGTGGTTGCCAGGAACTGGGAAATTTATTGTTTAATGGGCATAGTGTTTCAGTTCTGCAAAATGAAAAGAGTTCTGAAGAGGATGGTGGTGAAGGTTGAATGTACTTAATACCATTGAACTCCGCATTTAAAAATGCTTAAAATGGTAAATTTCATTTTACTAGTTTGTTTTTTTTTAACGGCCACTTTGTTTTTGTTGTTTGTTTTTTGAGACAGTCATGCTATGTAGTTCAGGCTGGCCTTGAACTCACAGCAATCCTCCTATCTCGGCCTTCCCAGTGCTGGGATTGTAGGTATGTGCCATCATGCCTGGCTAACTGCCACTTTCTAAACTAGCCAAGAGAATTGGGGATGTGGCTCAGAAGGAGAGAGGGCCTTGAACATGTTAGGGTTCAAGGGGTTCAATCTCCAGTACTGCAAAGGAAATAAACAAACAAACAAATAAATAAATAAGTGAAGTAGCCATGAAATTACACTAGCCCATATGCGCCAATCAAAAACAAAACAGCAGGGCTGGGGATGTAGCTCAGTGGTTTCGCCCCCTGCTGTGCAAGCCCAAGGACCCGAGTTCGATCCCCGGTACCAAAAAATAAAAAAATAAAAAACAAAACAGCAAAATCAAGGTGTCTAATGGAATTATAAATACTAAGCATGAAAAGAGCCTTAAAGCTCACCTAAGCTCCCTTCATATTCCACAGAAAAAACACCAATGCATCCCTGGAAGAAGGGCCTATACCTTCCAAACATTCCAAAAGGCATGGTGAGATGTTTAACAGGAAAATAAAAGAAAGAAAAATGACAAACTCTTGGTACTACAGGTTAAGCCAGCCTGAATTACACAACATTGTATGCAACTAGATATCAAGACATTTTCATCAGAAGTGTTCCAGTCGATAACATGACTTTTAAATTTTATAATTTAGTAATGACCCTTCATTACTGACATTTATTAGAGGCCTTTCCATCCTCTGTGTCAAATAATCTCTGCCCACTCTAAATTCAAAGAACAGAATTTATAATTAAGGCATGAAAGAAAAACAAGCTAAATATACTATAGGTAAGAGTCATGGTTAGACCAAGAATAAAAGAAATTTCAAAAGAAGTACAACGAGTAAACATACGAAATGAGTCAGTGCGTGAAGGGCCTGGTCCTTACTTTACCAACGTGCGGGCTCCTGGGCTTACCTTGCCTTTTGCATTTCCTGTATAGATATATTCCCCTCGCCTATCAAAAGATGCCACCACGTTCAAATCGGAGTCATCGTCTACCGGCAGAACAACATGTTTGGAATCTGAAAGGGTCAACATGACAGGAGCAGATTTCATGGGACACACGAGAACCTTGTTCCTGTTTAAAAATATGAACAGCACATTGGCTATTGCTTTGGTATCAGCAGGCTGAGCCCTGACCTCTGTCTGCTCCCCTCATCAACCCTCTCAACCCAAGCAAATCTGAAATCACAAAAAGCCTTAAGTCCTCATGTCTAGTAATGGGGAAAAGACTGAGTGAAATTACGGGGATCCTATCCTGACAAAATAAAATGTGATCATTGAAAATAAATATGAAGATATAATTTAACTAGCAAAATAGGAAATACCAAAATAATTGATTATAGCTACGTAAAAAATCGCGTGTTGAAACATATCTCATATGGACTGAGCTAAGAGGCACTATGTAAGAAGTCTCGTACCTACAGAGGAGTTGACTACGAGAGATCTCAGAGAAATGAAACAGCTATGTCTGGGTAATGCAGTGGTGAATAACTATTTTTCTTAAATGTAATTTTAATATTGAGCTGTCTACTCATACTAAAGAAATCCAAATTATTAAGGCAGGAAAAGCCCCAAGTCAAGGTCCAATCATACTTATTTCTATCTGCTCATTTTCGAAGTCTTAATTTGGCCAGTTATAACTATTATGTATAGTTAAATATATATGTAGAGTTATAATATACAAATTATATGTGTGATACACAAATACAATAACAATGTCCTTGAAAATATACTCAGTATAGCCAACCTGGAAAGCTTATTTTACACAGGTCTTAGAGATGTGTTTTTCTGCCTCCTAAACCTTGCACTGAAGCTATCAGGAGCCCAGAGCTAATCCATCTAGAATCATACCCCACCCGGGACAGGAACAGCACAAACATACTGATCGCGTGGGTGATACTGGACTTTTAAGATGGGTGAAGGGAATCGGAACCTCTGGTCACAGTCGCCTGACAGAACATCCCACTGTGACACAATGTTATCGGTGGAAGCGCTCACGAGCTTGTGGCCATCTCGACTCCAGCTAGGAAAAAGGGGTAGTTTAGTAGGTATTCAAGGGTAAAGTACAATATATCATCTCACTGCTGTGGATAAAATGCAGGAGTCACACACGTTCTCCTTACTGCACAGGCCAAGAATTTTCTTTTAAGTACTATATACTCAACCTACAAAGGCGGGCACAGTGGCACATAGTTGTTAAATCCAGCATTTGGGACACTGAGGCAGGAGGATCACAAGTTTCGAGTCCCCCTGGGAAATTTAGTGAGACCCTATGTCAAAATAAAAAGTAAAGGGATAGAGACATAGCTCAGTGGTAGTTTTTAAGGGGAGGGAGGTGACACAGGGTCTTGCTAGGTAGTTAAGGGGGTCCTTGAACTCACTATGTAGCCCAGGCTGGCCTCAAACTTGTGTCAATCCTCTTGCCTCAGCCTCCTGAATGCTGAGATCACAGGTGTGCACCACCACACTTCGCTCTTTTGGTACCATTTTTTAAAAAATCTACAATAAACTTTCTCCAGTAGCCAATAAAGACTGTTTTCCTAATATCTTCCCATGTAGTCATTAATATTTCAAGTGGCTCCGTGAAACAACAGACCAAATATCTTGGAAAACCCCCAAATCAGCTAGTCTTTAAGAGCTAAAATAACAAAAACAACAACAAAATGTGGTTGGGGTGGGAGGGCTTGAGAGTGAAGAGTATGTGAATATTTTGAAGGTGTCCCAAAAGTAGCACCATCACAGCATTAACAAAACGAAAAGATAAGACTCTTATTTAAAAATAAGAAAGGGGGGCCGGGGATTTAGCTCAGTGGTGCCACCTCCTGCCTTGCAAGTGCAAGGTCCTGAGTTCAATCCCAGGTACCAAAAAGAAATAAAATAAAAAATAAAAAGAAGAAAGTATCCCTCCTGCTAAGTACAGCCGAACACCTCGGCCATTCTATAAAACAAACACAAAAGGACCCTGAAAGGTAGAGAAAAGAGAAGCCAGCTGACCGCAGAGCCTGTGGGATGCCTCAAGGGTGAGTTCTCTGTGCATCCTTTTGCCTCACATAGCCTGGACCAGGCGAAGGAAGCCAGTAAGCTGGCAATGCCAACAGGCACACACAGAAACCCCCGAGAAGATACTGCTTTCTCTCACTAAAGGACAGCCCAGCGAGGCAGAAGGCTTGGAGAATAATCTATGCCAGGCAGACACCACAGAGAAATCCTGCTCTAGTCAGCAAGAGCTGGACAGACAGCCCACACTTCCACCCGCGCCCCACTGCACAGGGTACCTGCGTCCCTCTGCTGGGACGCGGTCCGGGAAGGTGAGTAAGGGTCAAGACCTTCGCTACCACCAGCAGGGATGAGGTCCCCAGCACTGCATCAGCGGGGGCCCCAGAGATGGACCAAGATGCTTGTATCCCTGCAGACAGGATGCGATCAGCAGAGACCCAGGGCCCAGCCTACACTTCTACCCGCCCAGCAGTCTCGGCAAAGACACCGAGAAAACCAAACAGTCATTCCACACTTGAGAAATACGATAACCGGTACAGATGAATGCATAAGCCAATGGAGGAAAAAAAGAGTAAAGAATCAGCAAACTGGAAGACAGAATAATAAAAATTACTCAATCTGAACAATAGAAAACTAACTAAAAAATAAAAGAACAGAACTGAAGAAGAGCCTCAGGGACATGTGAGTCCATAACAAAAGATCTGACATTCGTGCCATCAGTCCTGGGAAGAATAAACAGAGTGGGACTTAGAGATATTTGCTGAAACAAAAGGGCAGATTGACATTTGTTGCCAGCAGACCTAACCTAAAAGAAGACTAAAGGAAATTCTCTAAATGGAAAGAAAAGGGAGAAGAAATCTTAGAAAAGAAGGAAGAAAGCATAATGAAAAGAGTATAAAAAATATGAGTAAAACACTTTTTTTCTCTCTCAAGTGCTGATGTTTGAAGCAAGTTATAACACTGTCAGTTGGGTGTGGTTCCTAGCTGTAAACAAATTATATATATACATACATATATATATTTGCCTCATGTGGAATTCAATGTCTTTATTTAGAATATCTGAGACAGATATCATGCCTATCCCTAATTTCTCTTGGTTAAATTTCCTAAGTTCCTAATATGTTAAAATATTTACACAATAATTAAAGTCATATAAAGACACATTCTAAATGAGGTTAAATCAAAGAAGAATGTATGTAACTACTGATTATAACTATGATGTTTAGGTGTACTCACATACACCAAAAATTAGGAAACAGCTAAACAACAGCAATGCAAGTATACTATGCAATATTTTACTGGCACAATTACTTAAAATGAAACAGAAAACCAACCCCTATATATTAAGCAAAAAAGCAAGCTATAAAGCAAAACATACAGTTTGTCTACAATTGTGTTTTAAAAGCACTACGGGTTTATATGTATTTTTTACATATAGAGAAAAAAGGTAAGCTATATCTTATAAATAAAAGATCTATTCTGTACTGTTAAATAACAATGGTTACCCCAAGGAAGAGACAAAGGACTTTTGTTTTTTTACTTTGTATACTCATGTACTGTATGATTTAAAATTTTTTAAACAATCAAATATAGATTTTTTTATTTTCTTTTTTCTTATTGGTACATTTTAGATATACATAATGATAACATTCTTCATAAGGAATCTGTACTGGTACATAATATATCTTGCTTCTTCTTTTTTTCCCATTCCTCTCCCCTGCCTTCAGCTCCTCTTCCCCTCCTTATTTACAAAAGCTTTATTCCCATTTTTTTCTTTCTTTTTTTTCTTGTCCCTTCCTTCCTTTCTCATTCTCCCCTCCTTTGTTCCCTTCTCATTTGAATATTTTTGTCCCATTTCCCAACATCTATTATACATTTTGGTCCTTATTTACACTTTGAGTTTCTCACACCAGAGAAATAATGCAGTATTTAAACATGTGTGTTAAATTTATTTCACTTAAGAATATGGTCTCAAGGTGCATCCATTTAGCTATAAACGTCTGATGGGCATCCTTCTTTATGGCAGAGTAGTACTTCATTATAGATATAAAAACACATCGGCCAGGGATTTAGCTCAGTGGTTTTGCTGTCTGCTGCACAAGCGCAAGGACCTGAGTTCGATCCCCGGTACCAAAAACAACAACAACAACAACAAAAAACACATCTTCTTTATCCATTCATCAGTTGATGGGCATTTGGGCTGTTTCCAAGATTTAGCTATTACAAACTGGGCCGCTATAAACATGGGTGTGCATATATCACTGTGGTATATACTTTTAATTCTTTCTGGACGATACCAAGAAGGGGAATAATAGCTGAGTCAAATGAAGCCTCTAGTTTTAGTTTTTTAAGGTATCTCCACACTGATTTCCACAGTGGTTGCACCAGTCTACACTCCCACCAACAATGGAGAAGGGTTCCTTTTTCCCTGCAACCTCGCCAGGATTTGTTATTGGTTATTGGTTATTTGTTATTTGTTATTGGGGTTTTTTTTTGGTACCGGGGATCGAACTTGGGTCCTTGCTATTGGTTCATTTCTCGATAGCAGCCATTCTTTCTGGGGTGAGGTGGAATCTCAGTGTTGTTTTCATTTGCATCTCTTGAATGACCAGCGATGTTAAAAAACATTTTCTTCATATATTTATTTGCCATTTCTATTTCTTTATCTGAGAAATGTCTATTCATTTCAGATGCCCATTTTTCGACTGGGTCTTTAAATTTGGGGGGTCTGATTTTTTTGAGTTCTTTATATATTCTAGATAGTAGTCCTTTGTCTGAGGAACAGCTGGCAAAAAATTTTCCACTCTGTGGGTTGTCTCTTTACTCTGTTAGTGGTTTCTTTTTCTGTGCAAAAGCTTTTAAAGATGAGATCCCAGTTGTTGATTCTTTGTGATATTTCTTGTGTGACTGGGGTTCTGTTCATAGTCTTTGCCTACACCAATGTCTCCAAGAGTTCTAACTATTCTATCTTCCAGCAGATTAAGTGTTTCTATTTTAATTTTTTTTTGTTTTAATATTTAGATCTTTGATCCATTTTGATTTTAGTTTAGTGCATGGCAAAAGATAGTTTTAATTTTCAGCATGATTTTGTGAGTTTTAGAAAGTTAGTAATTTTGGAAGAGGAGAAAAAATTCTATCAACATTCATGCCCTTTGACTAATCAGTAACACACTTCTCAAAGTCTGCTCCACATCATAGAACAAATGCCTCCTGGGCACCTCCACTAAGCTATCCTGTTCACCTAACACACCTCCGAATGCCTGCTACATAGCAAGATAAGATGCTGAGAATACAGTGATGGGAGACACGGTCTGTATACTCCAGCACTTCCTATCATTCAGGGAAGATACTCACAAAACAAACGTGCAATCAAATATGAACGGAACAGAAGACATGCGACCATGATCCAAACTCACCACTCACCTGGCAAAAACCTACTCACACTACAAGTAGGAGCTTAGAAATGATCTCATCTATGAAGCCTTTTTTGACACAGCTCCCTTCAGACACAGCTGTAATCCCAGCTCCTCAGGAGGTTTAGGTAGGAAGACAGTAAATTTAAGGCTAGCTGTTTCAAACTAAAATTCACACAAAGGGGCTAGGTATGCAGCTCAGGGGAAGTGCTTGGCTATCAAGTAGGAAACCCTGGGTTCAATCCCCAGTACCACAAACAAACAAAAAGACAAAGAAAAAGATCTATAAAGCTTTGTAACATGTGCCTAACTGCATACCCACCTCCCTTAATAATCAAGAATTTCTCCTCTGGGTTCACTCCGCAGCTTCACAGACTGATGCACCCATACAAACACACAAGCTCTTCTCATTTGTTTTTGTGTTCCCAATGCCGAACACAGTACCTGGCACATAACTCATGTTCAATGTTCGTTGAACAAATTATTCTATTGAAAGTAAAACTTTATGCAGACACCCACTAAACCCTATCCACCAGGGGGGGAAACCCCAGAAAATGGTTAAGATAGTTTAACATGTGAGATTCTACTAAAAAAAAAAAAAAAAAAGCAAAGAAGATTATAGTTTATTTATTACACTGGTCATACAAGACTTTTAAGCAAGAAAATGTCTAGACAGTGTTTGGGAGAAAAAAGCAAAACATAAAATATAACACAATTATAAACTATGGTTTTAAAAAATAACTTACAGAAATGTATCAAAATATTTATAGAAGTAACATCTGGGTGGTAGGACTATGGGAAATAGTGTCCTACTTCATTTTCTTTTCTATAATTTTCTAAAGTTATGAATATATATATAACTTTATAATAAAAATATATACATAGTTCCATAGGTAAAAGTTCTAAAATCAGATTGTGACAGTGAATGCACAACTCTGAATATATAAAAAACAGTGAACTGTACAGTCAAATGGGTGCATTTGATCTTATGTGAATTATACCTATCTAAATAATGTTGTCAAAAATATACGTGTCTATTTAAATCTTTACAGCAAGAATAAAAAAGAAATGCCTAGGCCTGGAGAAGACCTACTATCACCCAGACCAGTGCTCGCATTTTGTGCATCAAAGAAAGTTTGGGCCCAAGCCACCAGGTCATTAATGGCAGACTGACATTCAATCCTCCTCTCAATCCAATCCTTTATGCTACCACTGCTGCTGCCATTCAGACCACAGAAAAGTTATGATTTAACTAACCCTGATCTTATAAATGCTATTTTATGCCCTCAGGTTCATTTCAAAAACCAAATGCTGCTCCTACATAAAATTTTATGAAGCAAATAGAGAGTGAAATCAACAGGAATTTATGCAAAAGCAGATTTCAGCTCCATGTATTTGAGTGAAAGCCTTATTAACTATACTTTAATGAAGGAATAAGCATGCTTGTGACTGCTGAAGTTGCTGAACTCGAAAACAGACAAGGTAGAACTAGATGACTTCCAAGCTTCCCTCCTAACCAAGACTTTATTCTAAATGAAATGTCAATAGCACAATCATGCTACAACTGCAATCTGTAAACATTCAGTATTCAAATGGTCCCAGACAGAGCCTGATATAAACCCAGCATCACAGTGAATTTCTCTCCTCAAAGGTGCTTCAAGGATATTATGGGCCTGGCATCTGCATAAACTATGAGAAATTCTATTATTAACGGTTGAGTATTTAAAAAACTCCGAATATTCAAATATCTACACTGAGATTGGCAAATATACAGTACATATTAATTCTCCTACCTTAACTCATTTTAATATATTAATTTAAAAATTCCTGGGGTTGAGGGTATGGTACAATAATACAGGGCTTTGCCTAGCGTGTACAAGGCCCTGGGTTCTAATCCCTAGCCCTGCAAAAAAATGAAACAGAATAAAAATAAAACTTCCTTACCACAAAGAACAGACTGGATGGATATGTGCACTAATTATTTTAGCGATGCCTCTCGTCAAGAAATCCCAGATGACAATTCTGCCATCATTACAGCCAACTGCAAGCAGCGTGCCCCACCTGTTAAAGGTGCAAGTCAGGGCCATACTGATACAATCCAAAGTCCCATCAGCTTCCTAAAAGGCAAAAGAAACAAAGAAATACAATACAGACAATAATGGCCAGGTAAAGGCCGGGGATTTAGCTCAGTGGTTCCGCACCCTGTTTTGCAAGCATTAAGGTCCCGAGTTCAATCCCCGGTACCAAAAAAAAAAAAGGCCAGGTAGCTAAACTATTTCTTAAAAGTTCTATCATTTATGATGTTTCTCTTCAATCTAAATTACAATGCATACCAAAATAACATCTACATATCTTCTTATACCTTTTAAATTAGCTAAAATGAAGATACATTTATAAAAACTAAAGTATTTTGGAAACAGATGTGTTCAATCCCTTAAATTATCACTATCACTCTGCAAATGGACAATACAGAACAAAAGTCATTTTTAAAATCATACGTATTAATCTAGTAGTTACAGTTCTGGGAATTTATCCCCCCAAAATAATTTAATACAAAAAAAAACAAGGAATAGCCTATATACATTACATTAGAGAAATCAAATTATTTTATATCAGAATCAAGCCATTTAAAATAACCACAATGACTACAGTGAAACATATTCAAGTGTCACAAAGCATACTTACATAAATTGATTATTATTATGTAAAAATATTGATTAAAACTTGAAAAGCACACCAAAAAAATCTATGTATAGGTGTTTTTACCTTTTGTGAAAAACCCTTCAATTAATGTTTTTAATAAAAGGAAAATGAACTATAAGTTTTACAGCTTTATGGAAAGCTTTCCAGCCATGCTCAAAAGTTAAACACCTCATTCCACTGCAAAAGATACATTATATCACGCCTAATGCTTCTTTGTTACCAAACATAATTACTAAGTAGTTATCATGTTCTCCAAATCATGAGAAAACTGTACTCTTACCTCTGGATAGTTCTGCCCAAATGACTCTGCAACAAAGCAAAGAAAGAGTTGATGGAAAATGCGCCACATATCAGGGTCCATATAGTTCATAAACGTGAGATATATATATGAATGAGTGATTATTGTCTACTATGCGCTAGGTCCTGGGTTGCATCCCCAGCACCACAAACAGAACAAAACAGATCAGTAGTTGGGCAAGTGAAGAGATGACAGGGAACTGATGCCCTTCTGGGGTTTCCGTGAGGTCACACCTATTTTCATTTTAATATCATACACAGATGGTTTCTGTCCTTTTTATTTTCATTATCTGAGTTTTCCTGAGAGAATATAACCTGTGATTATTGAAACAAAGGGAATGCAGAAGCAAATATGAGACTCTAGCTAATTTCTACTTAGGCAAACATTAAAGAGATCTGTAAAACATCTAAAACAATGCCATTCTTCTCACTAAATATTTTTGGTTTTTAAAAATCATATTTATATTACATATAAATATGTAATAAATACATTATGACTATTTTAAAGTAAGCTTTTAAAACTATGCTTTAACATCTAAATTACTAAATATCCATAGATATATCCACACAAACAAAAATGTCTTTGAAGATCTTCAATTTCCTAAAAGTATAAAGGCTCCTAAGATAAAAGCTTGGGAAATGTTGATATATCCAGGTCTAGTTTTCCCCAGCATATTCTCTAGGGATTTCTATTTATTTCCATAGTTACTAAAATGAAGAGAAAGGAAAGGCAAGAATCAAATCAATCAGTCAAATTATCTTTAGTTCCAACCACTCTCTGAAACTTTTACTAACAAAACAACCAATTACCAGAGACCACTTCTGTTCCGGGCTCATAGAGAGGGCCCTCCTTTTCTGTGGTTTCAGTTAACTCATGGTCCAAAACATTAAATGCAAAATTTCAGATAAATAATTTGTAAGTTTAAAACTGCATGCGTGATGTCTCATCCTGACAGGCCAAGGCAGGATCGATCATCCCTTTGCCTCACTCATCTACACTGTTTCCACTACCCACTGTTACTGAGCAGCCATCTTCCCTACCAGATCAACCGCCTAAGCATCACAGTGCTTGCGTTCAAGTAAAACCTTATTTTACTTAATAATGGCCCCAAAGCATCATTATTATGGATGTGCAGGAGAAAAACACAATGCATTTAGGGTCTGGTACTAGCAGTGGTTTCAGAGGCCCACTGGGGCTCTTGGAACCTATTTTCCACCGATATGGAGAGATTATGATGTGTAACAGAACTGGGTCGTAACATCATCTGATGGAATACACAGTCCTCTACATTCCTTTCTCATGCAAATAGAAAGAAATGAAAGGAAATGCAGAAATCATTATTAAGTTTGGAGTTTTCTGAAAAAGTTTTTAAAGTTACTAAAGTAAAACATATAATAGAAAAATGTAGTACAATTTTAAAAATGATAGCTCCAGCTGGGTATAATGGGACACGCCTGTAATTCCAGCACTCTGGGAGGCTGAAGCAGGAGGACTGCAAGTATGAGCACAGCCTGGGCAACTTAGCACAATCATTTTGAAATAAAAAGGTCTGGGGATGTAGCTCAATATGAAGGCCCTGGGTTCAATTCCCAGCACTGAAAGAAAGAAAGAAAAAAAAGACAGCTTCCTCCCTCCACTCACTCACCAAGATAAAAACTTCCATGTATTTTTGCATGTTTATACAGTCACATATTTAAGGGGTTTTTTAAAAATAAAATACTACACATACAATTTGCTTGATTTAGCAATATATCATATATTTCTTTCCAAATCAATATGATAAACTATACTCACATGGTTGAGAAACATAAAGACAAACAAAAAACACAACTTAAAGACAAAGGTACTCAGAAAGGAGCAGCATGTGACTTGCTGTACTGGGAGATGGAAAAAAAAAATCACAAATAAGGTTCTGAGAGTCCTGAATTCAGGGACCTTTTATGGTTAAATTGTCTGTTTTTGGTTTTATGTTTGGAATTGGCAAACATTCTAGTTAAGCGATTACAGTAAGGACTTTAAAGAAACCTAAAGACTAAGCCATTGAGTCCCCTCGACAAGCAGGCTGACAAGGCCACTTCCTCAAAGTACACCCAGGACCACGTTCATCCTCCCGTCCTCCCACCACCTACACTTTGCGTTATAATTGTATTAGCTCTGCTTGTTTTTATTTTTTATCAGGAGTAAGAAAATTCATTGGGAAATAGGAACAAGGAATAAGAATAGCTCCCGGGAGACCAGAGGGGTCCCGAATGGGTTGCCTGACTCTGCTTGTTTTTAAAGACCACTGAGGGAGGGCTGCCCAAAGATGTGGATACCAAAAGGAAATAAAGCTTGGTCAATTAAACTGTAAGAAAGATTTAACTTTCTAATACACTTGAAAACTTAAAAACAACCCTTTTACAGCAAAACATGTATTTCCAGGGCTGGGGATGTAGCTGCTCAATGGCACCAGGCCTGCCTGGCATGCACAAGGTCCTGAGTTCAATCCCCAGTACCAGGGGGGGAAAAACCCAAAAAAAACATGTATTTCCAAATTGATTACAAAAGAAAAATCCTTGACTAAATTAATAAAGACCACATTTAGCCAGGTGTGGTGGCATAGGCAAGGAATCCCAGCTACTGGGGAGGCTGAGGCAGGAGGACTAAAAGTTGGAAGCCAGCCTGGGCAACTTGAGAGAAATCCTGTCCAAAAAAGAAAAAAACAGAAAAGGGTTGAGGATGTAGCTCAATCTCAAGATCTTCCTGCCTCAGCCTCTCAAGTGCCAGAATTACAGGTGTGCACCACCAGGCCCTGCGCTGGAGTTTGTTATTCTGCCATATAAGACCTCATTATGCTATAGCAGGGGCAACAAAACACAAAGGATTACAGCAAGACCACTCCAAACATCTTCACAGAACAACACATTCTAATATAAATTCTTAGTTAAGAAAATTTTTAATTTTCATACACTCCTACTAACAAATGCTAAAAACGTTTGGTAAAACTTTCTTTTTTTGGTGGCGGTACTGGGGACGGAACCCAGAGGAGCTCCACTAATGAGCCACATTCCCAGTCCTTTTCACTTTTTATGTTGAGACAGGTAGGACTTGAATTGCAATTCTCCTGCCTCAGCCTCCCAAAGTGCTGGGATTACAGGCATGTACCACCTCAGGGGCTCAATAATAAAAGAAATTTTATTTCTTTTTATTTCTTTTCTAGTAAAAGAAATTGAAAACTATAGAAACTATTTTTTAAAGTACTCACACACAAAAAAACCAAACAGTATTATTCCAAAGAGTAAAATAGTAAAATAGTAAAATTCCAATTCACATCAACAACTAGACAGGCGTGTGTCAACATTAGTCAATATGATCTTGAAGGCTTTAGCCAATGAAACAAGGTAAGAAAATAAAATAATTGATTTAAACATCAACTATAAAGCAATAAAACTATTTCTCTTGTTGATATCACTGAATATCTAGGAAACAAAAGAAATTCTAATAAAAAGATATTCAAATTAATGGGACAATAAAGTAAGGTGGTCTGATACAAGGAAAAGGAGGGCTGGTGGGTATAGTGTTTGCCTGCCATGTGCATGGCCCTGGGCTCAATCTCCAGCCCTCAAAAAACTGTTTTTAAAGTTAAAACGTCGACAGTTTTTTTTTATATAGAGGCTACTGGTACCCAGACATGTAAATGGAGAAGAAAAGTCCATAAACAACAGGACAAACATAAACTACTACTTAGAGGAGGGGCTGGAGGGTGTAGCTCAGGGGTAAAGCACTAGCCTAGCATGTGTGAGGCCCTGTGAAAAATCCCTCCCCAGCACCACCCTTCTCCCAACACATACACATAAAGATAATAATAATGTCAGGCCCTGAAGGAATGAAGGAAGGAAAGAATAAAGAAAAGAAAAAGCTGCCAGGTATGGGGCAGAGGCCTGCTGTAATCTCAGCACTAACGAGGCTGAGGCAGGATTACCCTGAGTTTGAGGCCAGCCTGGGCTACATAGTGAGTTCAAGGCCAGCCTGAACCACATTGTGAGACTCTGTCTCAAAAAAACAAGAAAGAAAGGAAGGAAGGAAGGAAAGAGAGACAGAAAGAAAAAATATTAAATAAAAAATAAAATACTTAAGGAAAAAATAAGACACATGACATGTGTGAAGAAAATTACGACATCTTAGTTAAGGCCCCAAATCTGAACAAATGAAAAGCATTCCTACATTCCTAGGTGGGAGAGCTTAATGGCTTCTTCAAAAGTTAGTACATTTTATGCAATTGCAGATGAATTAAAGTCATACTAAAAAATTGCTAACATACTATAAGGCTGCCCAGTTTAGTGGTGGATGTATTTAATATACAGGAAAATGATTCTCAACCAGAAAGGAAAAACATTATAATTCTTCTCTCATATAACACATAAAAATAAATTCCAGATAAATTTAATTTAAAAATTATTATTTTTTTTGGTACCAGGGATCGAACTCGGATCCTTGCGCTTGTGAACCAGGTGCTGGAACCACTGAGCTAAATCCCCAAGGGCCGGGGATTTAGCTCAGTGGTTCAGCCGCCTGCCTCGCAAGCACAAGGTCCCGAGTTTGATCCCTGGTACCAAAAAAAAAATTATTTTTAAGTCTTAGGAGAAAAATCTAGGAAACCACATATACAACTTAGGGCAGGGAAGATTTTGATCAAGAGAAGAAAACCAAAAGCTCTAAAAGAAATATATTTGATAATATAAAAATCAGAACACTTTGCATGGCAAAAGTTCACATAGTCAAAAGAGTTAATACAGAAGATGGTCTTAAAACAAAGGAAAACATGATCAAACTCAGTTATAACAGAGAAATGTAATAAATTAAAGTGAAATAGCACTTTCATATATCAAGTGGGAAAACTTAAGAAAGGCAGCAACTACTGCTTAGCTGAATTATAGTAATTCTCTCAGAAATTACCATTAGGGTTAATAAAAAAAGACAAGATGTATATAAGAAGACCTCAAAGATGTATATAAGAAGACCTCATTTT